ACGGGACACCTTGTGAAAGCAGAAGAGCCTTCCATTTATGTGACGTGCTCTTTGGATCCAAGCCATTTTTCCTATTTTATGCCCTTCCCCAAAGCCGGAGGCAAAGGGACAGTTAAGCACTGTCTTTATGAATCCATGTTCCTTAAAGGACATGGATAGAAATAGTTTTTTTAATTAAAAAAACTGGGTTTTAAATGGTTGTTTTAAACTATGTTTACTATTACCACCACCACCACATAGAAAGCACCTAGTATTTTCTAAGCACTGTAGAGAGATTAAAAGATAAGGCGCTCCCTGCCTGCAGGCTCAGTCTAGTGGATATGACACAAAAGGAAACAAGGAGCTGGGAGGGAAGAGGAAAGCTAGCGAACTGAGGCGCCAGTTATTGAAGCTACATAGTTGCAGCAGCAGCATCTGATGTGGTCAGGTGGGCCTTCCTGCCTTTAAGTACAGAGATGTAATACCTGTAGCCCTCTGTCACCCAGGTGATGGCAGAAGATAGAGTAATCGACCCTCTGCTGCCTGCAACTGGCATTGGGAGCCAAGTGTTCTTTTCTGGTGGTTGGGTAGGGGCGAACCAAGTTTCCTGTAGCTTCTGCTGCTACGGCCAAATTATGAGCCAATCTTGTTGTGTTTTCTTTCTAAAAATCTTATTTAAAGTGTCATCTATATTGAACCTTTTAAACTGAAGCCATTAGATTGTGCATTCCTGTTAAAAACAAAAATGGAGGGGGAAATACTGTATTTTCCCGTCTATAAGACGCCAACACCTATAAGACGCCCTTTATTGTTGGGGACTCAGATTTAAGAAAATGGGGGGGGGGAGAGATGTATCTGTGTATAAGACGCCCCCTAATTTTTGACATTTTCAAAAATGAAAAAACCTAGCCTTATACACAGAAAAATACGGTAATCTGATACAGTCAAGTATTGCAAATATGGCCTATTCTCATTGTAAGTTTTTCTGCTGGACCCATGTCTTGATGTATCATTATTATTATTATTTATTTCTATCCCACTTTTTATTCAAATAAATACCAAAGCGGCTCACAAACAAAAGATGACAATAACATAATAGAACATCACAAATACAGCATAAATTGTATAGAATACTTTACAAATCATCAGTAAAACAATCACAAACAAAACAACTACCATCTATGTAACACTATTAACAAAGCAACTAAGAAATAAGCTAAACATCACCGTTACACCTAAAATAATAATATAGGATTCACAAAGGTACTACAGCATTCATATCTATGAAACAATGTTAACGACATTAACAAAATAGCAACAAAACAAACAAAGCCCTGTTGAATTTGTACACATACTTGCCTCACCACCATGACTCATAAACTTTCATTCTATTCAATGCATCAAAATACACTTGCACATAATGTTCCTGGCAGCAATTCCCTTCTGAAGGATTCTTGCGATGGAGGTAGTCAGCACAAAGACACTCTCCCCTCACATCCTTTCTGCCACTATGACACTTCCATTTTCATAACAGAAAAATGGAATACCAGAATAAGACGAGGCTGCAATTTGGAGGTTAGGTGATACTCTGACATGTGTTCAACTATGATTAAAAATATCATTAGTTAACATAGCTACATGATCAGTGTGGGAAAGATAAAATACTTGTAATATCACATTAGACCCTTCAAACCCGTTTCCGGTTTTCTTAGGGAAAACGCCTTAAAATTATTACATTATCATCACAGGCACTAGCTTCTCTAGAGCCTTGGAGATAACAATTGTGTATTTCACCAAGATCGTTTTGCTGAGTCTACCTTTTTATGCCTTAAAATTGCCTAAACTCTACAGTTTGTAAATTCTTCAGATTATTAATATTTATGACTCTACCAACCCTGTACTGTATTGACATTTACTTCCATAGCATAACACTTCTGGGAAGTTCTGGGCTCTTGGGCTGCAATCCTAAAAGTCCTGTTGAAGTCCGGCTGTCTATTGAGTAGACATGTACTGTATAGGATTGCTCTGTAAGTCTTTAAATCTTGCTTAATGCATAAATACAAATAATCCCTTCAGTCCAAAGACTAACCGCCCGTTTTTCAGTCGAGCAATAAGTAACATGCAATTCTTAGTGCTGACGCTAGAACATGTCGCATCTAAAGACACGAGACCGCACAATTTGTTACTCTGAAGGGAAATCTTTCCCCAATAAATCCTTGTGAGCTACAAGGGAGGGAAAAATGAAAGTACATTTCGTGCGTCCTCCGGCGTGAGCTGCGCACTGAGTCACGGGCTGTAATGGTGGTGTGCCAGATTTTTATCAAAAAGTGGCTTTGCCCAAAAGTTGGAAGCTGTATAGATTGCTCTGTAAGTCTTTAATTTGCTTATGCATAATCAAATAATCCTTCAGTCACAACGCCGTTTTCAGTAAGCATACAAATTTGTAGTGTGATAGCAGTGATTAAAGACACAGACTTTAATTTTACTCTTAAGAAAATCTCTTAATAAATATGTAGCTACAAATGCACTTGAACGATTAGAATTAGAGAGCCTTCAGTATCGGACTTTGAGACTTTTACATCCGCACTGTATTATCTCTTCCTCACATAAAATCCTTGAAAGACAGACTACAGTGTGAAATTCCTGAAGTATAATTGTTATCAGTTAGTTTGAGCCCTGAATGAATACAATCAGGATAAGGATTTTCACTCCTGCTTAGTCAAATTAACGTAACAAAGCTAGGAAGATCTATTGTCACAAATAGCTGCAATTCTGTAAGGTTACTGTGCTTGTTATGTTCAGAGAAGAGCTTTGCACAGAGATACTGCAAACTCTACTCATGGTCTTTTGACCTCACTATTTATGTTTTTCTGCCTCTCTAAGCCAACAGAGGATAACACTTCATGCAACTAACAAAGTGTATCTCCAAAACCTTAAGGCACCGTGAATCGCTAAAGGGTCACAAGACTCTTATAGATCTGCTTGCTGCAGCAAACTAGAATGACTAGTAGCCCTTATGATGTGGAATTATCTCACTTCTGAGTCACTGCCTTCCTCTTTCCAGCTGAACTTCAACATTCCCCCCCCCTTTTAAAGGGAAGCCAGGGCTTTACAGGCCATGCATAAGTACTTGGGGAACGGATTGGCAGTTGTGCTTGCTTGCTTCTTGTCTATAAACTAGCATGTGTATATATGAACAGAGTCAGAATATTACACATGTTTTTTTCTGTGCTGCTAAAGCTGTCTTTTAATTGTCCCGGATGACAATATTCTTGCACCTTTAAAATCTGTTCAGGGCTTTCTTGTGTGTAAATCTAAAGCAAGGCAGAGGAGATCAGGAAACCAGAACAGGGGGCCTGAAGCGCATTGCTGCTCTTGAACTGTGACAAAAGTGCAACAAAGACATGTTAGAGCGGGGGACGATGAGGCATTCCTCCAGTCCACAATCCCAAGCCCTTCTTAAGGTAGCACCCTTGGCTACAGTACTGGGAACGGCCTATTGAATAAGGCAATGAGGTGAAAATGGACTCTTCCCAACTGGCAAGTTGGCTCTGGCTTGGCTTAGACTGCTCAGATGGTATATGGGAAACTGAAATGGGACCAGTGTCCCTCTTAGGCTCTGGAGACGGAGAACTTCCTGTCCCTCCAGATAATGTCCCTCCAGCTCCCAGCAGCTCCAGCAGTCATGGCCAGTTGTCAAGGGTGATGGGAGTTGAAGTTCAACAGTGTTTGGAGGACTCCAGGTCCCCCACCTCTGCCTTTGATACTCAAGGCCTCCGCCTTCGCTAGCAACTCCCATCAGCATGAAATGATGGATGTGCAGGTTCCCCATCCTTGCACACAGGCATGATCTGTCAAACCTCTGCCTTGTAGTTTCCTGCAGTGATCCCGACTGAAAACCACTGGGTCAGTTTCTCTTCATGTCCACAGTGCTTGCTCAGGTACTCTTGTCCTGTACTAGGCTGATGTTTTTGCTGAGGAAATGTTGACTTTATTCCGGCACTCAAATAGCTGCTGTCCCTCAGGCGTGGTCTTACTGTTTGGCTGCCTTGTGGCCTTTGGGCTCCTTTTGAAATGAAGGGAAGAAACACTTCCATGTGTTTTATTGGTGGCTTCTCAGAAATGCCATGCGGGGTGAGGTCATAGTTCTGTGGTGAAGTCATGTATTTGGAGGCCACAGTCTGGGGTTCGGTTCGTTGCTGTCTCGGTTAGAGGACTTTTGGCAGCAGGGAAGACAGGTCTTTTGAAGCACCAAGCTGCAAAGAAGAGTGTGGCAATATTCAGAAGGCCAGCTGCTTCTGTTTATGTTACAAGGACCGCTTCCCCAAAAGGAGACCCTCACGGTGCTTCTGAAATAAAACACAATGTTTGTTCCTATGCAGCTGGATCTTTGTGTGCTGGTTTTGTTGTCCTGAGACACTGCAATTACGGGGTGCTGTTGTCAAGGAAGGCTTAAATAGGCTATGTGGGTTATTGATCTGACTCTGTGTAAGATGGCAACAGCAGACCTTCCAGCGAATAGGTGTCAGCTTTTGTGGCTAGCTGTGTTTACAGAGCAGAGGAAGTGCCATGTAAGGTGGCTGCGGCTTTGTTTTGTCAAATAACGCAGACTCTCTTCTGCCTGAGAAGATGGATTCACATAAACAAAGCGAAAATGAGAGTTCAGGAAATAGCTCAAAGTTACTTGGAAACCAATTTCTCTCCCGCTCGTGCTGAAGCCATGGTGGTTGGATTGTACAGTAGACCTTTGAAAGAAGGTACTGTTCAGTACCTTTTAAAAACTGGTTTAAAATGGGTTCCCTAAATCTTGTTTTAGAGGTAAAAATTGTTGACGCAAACCCCCTCTTATTCTGCCAAACTTAATCCGAAATGGTACCTTATCTTGACTATATTGTCTGACTTCAGGATTGAGGTATATTAATGATGGAAGGAAAATAGCGATTGCTCTGGTTCAAGTATTATTTGGCCTCAGCTGCTTTTTTGTCTGCAGTAATTGTCTTTTGTGCTTCAATTCCCAACAGACTGTTGAACATGGCTTCCCGCACCAGCCCAGCGCACTGGGCTATAGCTCTTTCCTCCATCTCATGGCTATCGGGACCCGATCAGGAGCCATCAAAGTGTATCCTTTTCATTCATTTCTGAGCTGCATAATGGCTTTTCAGCAGCAGTAGGTATGCCAAAATGTGTAGAGATAGTATTTATGTGGTGCTTCCTTCAAAGGGCTTTGCATTTGTAGAATCAGTAATCCTAACAACCGCATTATCCCCATATTGCTTTCTTTTCTCAGATTACCTAGTAGGTTGTCGTTAATGTAAGTTTTGAACCTAGATAATCAGTTCAATTGCACCTCTGATAATGAGGGCCTCTGGTGATCAGCTCTTGTGAAATGTACTAAAATCATTGTGGAAGCTACTCTTGAGCTAATCTGGTCTAGTGGAAAGTGGTGCCTGTAGATAAATAGCTTTATCACCCACATTCCAAGTCTGTTTTAAATATCCTGACGCAGAGGAAGAGTTCATTTTTAGCACAGTGCAATATTTGTGGTTTGAATTTTGAGTCATAAATAAATCTTTGGCTTTCCTGTCTTGGTAGTCCTAAAATACTGGGCTAAGCAACAAAGTGCTTTGAAGGTGCTTTCCTTTTATCCAGCCTCAGTGCAGAATATAAATGAACACAAATCTGTTTCTAGTGGCGCTGAGCCAGCTAGGGTAGGGGAAGTGAACTGTTCCTCCTTCATGGAGGGACAATCTGAGTGCTTTCCAATGACACTGCCATTTTCCGGCAACACGTCTCTCTGGAAGATTCTTGCAGGCAAGCATTGGGCCATCTGTCTCCTGATGATGGATTTAAATGGAATTGCAGCACCCGGAAGACGAGAATAGATGGGCTCCTGTCACTCCATCTTGCCCAACTTCCAAAAGTGCTGCACAAGCAGGCTCTCCCAACTTTTGAATTTAAAATCAAGTAGATGTCTGTCTGCATTACAGTAATCTGCTAACGAATTTCAAAATGGGTTCCCGGACAACTCTTGTCTCCTTATCTGTTACTAGCAAATGTTTCAGCAAGCCTTTGCTGCATGGTACACTTGCCTCTTAGTCTATGCCAGGCTTCCTCAACCTTGGCCCTCCAGATGTTTTGAGGCTACAATTCTCATCATCCCTGACCACTGGTCCTCCTAGCTAGGGATCATGGGAGTTGTAGTCCAAAAAATATCTGGAGGTCCGAGGTTGAGGGAGCCTGGTCTATGCCAACAGTAAATGGTTGTTTTCGCTTGGTTTGCTTATTATTATTTTTTAAAATTTCTATTCTGCCCTTCATCCGAGGATCATAAGGTGGTTTACAATACAAAAAAAGTAACATAATAACTGTTATGTATTGAAGTTCTTCCCCTGGCCACCAGGAGTATTGTGTATGTAGTTTTCACTCAGGTCCACGTCAGTTATTTTAGGCGGGAAACCCTGGGTTGTTGTTGCTACATTGTTGACAGCCGGCTGCCTATAAAAGCAGGCCGGCTGAGCTGTTTGCTGTTCAGTTCTGTCCAGCTTACAAATAAAGAGCTGCTCTGGAGAAATCGCTGTGTCGTCTGCTATGTTTGCCCACAATTTAACACTGACGACGAAGGTGGGATCGATGGACATCAGAGCACAGCCAAGCCCTCACGGTTTAAAAGGCCATAGATCGTTTAATTAGCCAAAGGCCTAGGAGAAGAGGAATGGTTTTTTTGGTCTTGCTCCTAAAGCAAAGGCACGAGATGAGCCTCCCTGGGGAGATCATTCCACAAATGGGGAGCCATCCCAGAATAGGCCTTTTCTCATGTTGCCACCCTCCTGACACATGAAGAAGGGCCTCAGATGATGATTGCAGGGTTCAGGTCAGTTCATATGTGGTGAGGCAGTCCCGAGCCATTTAAGGCACCTTGAATTGGGCCTGGAAAATAGTTGGCAGCCAGTGCAGTTGGACTAGTGCAGTTACTGTAATATGCTCAAACCATCTTGCCCCAGTGAGCATCCTGACCACCGAATATTGCACCAGCTGAATTCTCCAAACTCTATGCGGAGGCAGTCCCAGATATAATGAATTGCAATGATCTAACCTAGACATTACTAGAGCATAGGCAACCGAAGGTAGGTGTCTGCTTCTTCTAAGCAGTGATGATGGAAATTACCAGGGGTGACTTGAACCTAATACTAGTGCTTTATGGGGAGACATCACAAGTATTCTAGGATAGAACTAATTTGCCACAAAGCGAAGGCAGCAAAAATCAATGCACACATAAATACTATTGACCTCAATCAGTCATTCAGCTACGGCGCTCCAGGGGTTGAGTTCATGGGCTTGCACGAAGAGACCAACACTGTCATGCAAATACATTTCATTCCTGGCCAGGTGAGTAGAATTCCATCTAAATTCTGTGCTCCATACATCAGATATGTTTTCAACTTTCTAGGGTTTCAGAGACTGAGATGGACTTCACCCACTAGCCCTCTGTAATGTGAAAACATGATAGATGCCATGATGTTTTTGGCAAAGGGACCAAAACTACTGAACGTTTTAATTCTTGTTTCCTACTTTTGAGCACCTTGGCAAACTCTTGAGTGTGTAGATGTAATTGCAAAAGGAGGATAGATGCCCACCTCCCCCAACAGCCTGCAGTTCCTTACCCAATTCCTCAATATCCAAGGGCAAAAGCTGGTTATGCCTCCTGTTTCAGCACTGATAAGAACCTGACATAAGAAGAGCCTTCTGAATTAGACCAGTGGCATCGCGAGCTGTGTGCAGGTGGCGTGTCGCTTGTTGGATCAACGTCTTAGCAGTGCTTATGGCTTTGCCACCCGTGACCCTTATTTGGGCGCTGTATTGAATTCCTAAAGGGAGCCTTTAAATAAACTTGCCATAGTGAAATTTCTAATCCTCAGTCTGATGAGGGGAGCCTGGACAAACGAACTTTGAGAAGTCGTTTGTCATTTTAGTCACCCTTCAGGCTGCCATCTCCATTCTGCAGCAGTCCTAGAATACAAGGGAAAAGAAAAACGATGTTTAATCATTGTTGGATCCAGAAAACTGCTGTGCACAATTCAACAAGCGTCCTTTGATAAATGCAATTATTGTGGCATAAGCTTTTGTTGGCCAGAGTGTAGCAATAAACATGTTCTTTAAAGTACTATAGGACTCGGTTGTTTTCCCTACAATATACTTTAATAGACTCTGCCTCTACCATGTGGCACTGCTTGTAGAGCGAAGATCGTTTTTGTGTTCATTTTAAAAACTGGATATACTTGAAGGAGCAAACATCTTGAGGGAGGAGGGCACATCAACTAGCCCTGCACTTAGGAGTCTCAAACCTGATTTTGGTTCTAGACCACTGGGAGTAGTCTGAATATATTTCAAGAATGCTGCTGTGTCACTCTTGCTCATAAACATAAGCCCCAAATCCAGCTGCGGCCAGACAGCTTTTAATTATGTTGGAGAGGATTTGGAATTGCTACCGCTTTGGCCTTTGTCCTGCATGCACTTTTATATAGAGAGATGGCTCTCCATGTAGGACAAGTGGATGTGAATATAAAGGGACCCCTTCTACTTTATTAAGAAACCTGCTGCAGGAGTAATTTCATAAAAGCTGTAACTCAGCAGGTTGACTCTCCCCGAAACTGATGTTTTGGAAGCACACTTTCATGAGTACAAACTCCCAATTATCCTGCAATGTTAGAAGAACCTTCAAATTATTTAAAAGGGTTTTGCCTCTAAGACTGGGAAGGAAGAATTCTGTGTTTGTGAGCATTTTTATTTTAGCATGCTGCCTTACTCATTTGCCAAGCCTGGGCTGATCTTCATGCCTTAGTGGAATCTCATAAAGAGAGAACATTTGGAATGAGCAATAACTCAGAATACTCATGGGAACTGTTACCTGCTGTACTAGGTGGAGCTTCAGCAGACAGTGCTTGGTTTTAAATTCTTAAATATTGGCCAGGGTTGGGCTTGTAACAAATATTCTTGGGCACCACTCCTTTAGGATGAAGTCAGGTGAAAAGAATGCAAGGTGAGAAAGAGAGTCACAGAATAGGAGCCACTCGCTCCTAAACAGGGTGGGGATGTGTTTTTCACTCAGAGCTACAAGGAGTTCAAGTTATTAGCCCAGCAGAGCTGACAATTGAACAGGTACTTCTCTGGGACGTGAAGTGCAGAATTTTCAAATTACAAAAGAGCACAGAAATGACCATGTCTCTACATAGAGCACTTGACTCTGTGTTAAGTGAACAAAACAGAAAGAAAGGGCAGGACCAAGTGAAAGATTTTGGTGCTGCTTCAAGCACAGTATCCTCAGTACTCCCTCTCCCTGACCGAAGAGAAGCAAGACATGCAAATTCCCAAACTGCATCGGATCTGCTTCTTTACTCGGTGCAAAGGAGTGATGATGGTCTTGGGGCCCTGGCAGGTGCCCAGCCTTGCCACTGCCTGGAGTTTGCTCTGGGGAACAGGAGGTTGATTTAAATAGCGGTCAAGGTGTGTGAGAGTCATGGAAAGTAGTGGCTGATTGTATTGTGGCTCAGGAAAGCCTTTACTAAAGGGGAGTTGGAGAGGAGCTAAAGGAGTGACTTAAATATAAGAGATGTAGGTAGTATTTCCAAGCATAGAGAATCAGCACAGATGAAGGCATAAAGGTGGAACAGGCCAATTGCTGATGACGTAGTGCATTACAAAGAGACTCATTCTCAACTAGAATAAGCAATTAGGTATATTCAGGTTCAGTTGATTTGTATGATTGTGATATTTACTGGAGCTGAAATTAGCCACCTCCCCTGTCCTTCTCGTCAGTTCTCCTCTGCAAATTCTCACATCAAATATGTGCTGGATGCTCAGACAGAATTCACCATATCAGCATCTGAAATTGATTTTGCAGTAGCATCCAACATTCAGTTAAAAACATCCTCTTGAAAGGACGAAAGCAGATACCAGTTGCAATTTGATGCCACACAGGGTTCTGAAGTAATATTTTAAATAATTTTATTTAAACAATATTTAAGCATACAACAATCTAAGAATATAACTTACCAGCATAAGATAATTTACAAAGTTACATAAAAACCTGAAACCTGTATGTCAAATGTCTGGATCTGATTTTGACATCAGAATCCAAACTGCAAAAATATTGAAGATTGTTTTGACATTTTGATTTGCTTGCAAGGTGCTGTCTTACCGTAGAGTTTCCCTCCATAAGGACCTTACCCTATATAGGATTTTAATATCTCCTGGTCCTGTGCTGAAATGGGCTACCTGTTTCTATTGATTTCACCCCCAGGAGAGCCATGTTAGTCTCTTGAAGCAAAAAACCACCGGAGCTCTGTAGCATTAGTTTTGTGGTCTCATGCTCACTTTGTCAGATGTGTTTATTTCTACCAAATAGCTTACCTTCACATTAATAGGACGACAGTAGTACAAACTCTTCTGACGGCTAAAACTTCATTCTTGATTGGTTATGTACTGTGGCTTAATAAACACAACTGCTGAATAATGTGCCTCTTGAAATGTTGCTGCACTCTGTACTACTCAAATGCTTGCTCATTTCTCCTTTTGTGTGTCTAATTTTCAGTGCCGCTTGTTGACATTGCTAGATGATAACAGCCTGCATTTATGGACCCTGAAACAGACCCACAGCAATATGTCTGAGCTGCAGGAAGAAAGACATTTCACACTCCGAGGGCCTCCTGGGTAACTGGGATACTTCTTTCTCCATCAGAAGTGGGCCAGGAGATGCATTCTGATAGACTTTTGTTTTGTTTTTATTGTTTAAGCAAATGCCTGCTTTTTTACTAGTTCTGTGCGCTCTGGAAAGCCTGTTTCTCATTTCTAAATTGGGAATAAAGGTTGCATGCATGTGTGTTACATGACTTTCTACAAACTAAGGGTTTATTCAGAAGTAATATTCACCAGCCTTCATGTTGTGCAGGGATTAGGAGTGTAGACTTGTACTTTCCTCTGACTTAATGGAGCTCAGTTCTTCCTTACATCTTTGAGCAAGCCATAGTTTGCTGTTACATCTGAACCAGGCAACTGTAGTTTGATTCAATTAAGGGAGGGAGAGAATCTTGAGTGAGCAAAGGGCAAAGAGACGGCTGTTGTCTAAACAGGCCAGGGGTTTGTGTGCTACAGGCTTGGTGAAAGAGTTCAGTGCCACTGAATTTTTTTAGGGGGCGCGATTGCTGCAGATTTTGTTGTGCCAAGTGATTCGCTGGTTAGCTTAAAGTTTGAGTGTGCACTTATAAAATATTTAGTACATAACCTGTTCATTTGTTTTGTCTTTAAACCCTGCTTAAAATATTCTATTGATTGCTTAAATCAGTGGTGTCCCAGCTTTTTTCAAAGAGGGCCAGATTTGATGAAGTGAAGGGCCGTGAGGGATTTTACCCCAGAAAATAAACTGCCACAGGGGCTGGATTAAACCAACCAGCGGGCCGGATTAGGCCCCGAAAACTGGCTTAAATTGTTTGTTCCTGTAGAGTTGTAGGACAACTTACTAGCAAGTTTCTATTCCCACACTAATGGTATGCATTAGCCCTTTTTATGTCATATGTCCTTCCCCCCCTCCCCTGCAACTGAGAATTGTGGGATGAGAATTTATACTTAAATATCTGGTAATGAATAATGATTTCCAAAGCCTTTACACACAGCTGTTGGATCAAGTATCTGCTTTGTATTACAGTATATATAAGCTGCCTGGGCAACTAATTTCACCCAGCTGTAATTTACCAGTATCTCTTTTCCCCTCCACTTACAGTTCCCCTCCAAGTGCTACCCAGGTAACAGCTATCCTCGCACACTCCTCCCAGGAACTTCTTTATCTTGGCACTGAGAGTGGTAATGTCTTTGTGGTGGAGATCCCATCCTTCAGAGTGCTAGAAGACCGGACCATCAGTCCAGATGTTGTGCTGCAACGGTAAAATGAGACGCTGGAGTTGCGCTATCTAGGGATGATTTCGGGGTGTTGTGTTACGCATGCGTTACAATGAGGGTAAAAATCCTGCAAGACCTTTGAACACTGGTTATATTAACATATTAACCTGAAGTAGTAGTATTGGTGCCACCTCTGTGGTTGCTCTGGAAATGAATTCAAATCCCTGCCTGACTTGAACTCTTTCTTGTTCCTGGGACTTGCCTGTCATTTTGGTTACATGGCAGCTTCTTAATTCCAGTCTTCTATGCTGGATTGTTGGTGTGGATGAGCAGGTCTCTTTGTCCTGGCAGACTGAGCTTCACAGGTAACCAGGAGCTGTACTCAGCCCTGCCCCCCAGTGGTTTGGGGGCATTTTTTAAAATTTCCCAGTGTCGGTGTGGCGGCAGGAGGGAGTGTAAAAGTCCAAGTAAGGTTCAGAAGCTTGTTTTTAGTATTTTCAGGATTCAGCTTTCACCCTTTAATAATTTAAATACAGTGGTACCTTGGTTTTCGAATGTCTCCGTTGACGAACGTTTCAGAACGCTGTAAACCCAGAAGTAGATGCTTCGGTTTTCGAACGTGGCCTCAGAAGTTGAACATGTTACGCGGCTTCCATATTGAGTTTTCCGTACTGAGGCTTCCGTATTGAGTTTTCAGTTTTCAAACGTTTCAGAACTCGGACTGGCTTCCGGAACAGATTACGTTCGAAAACCGAGGTACCACTGTACATTAGTTGTGACTACCTTTTAAATACTTCATAATAACTGTGGTACCCTTCCCCAACCTAGTGCTGTCCAGATGTTGCGGGCTGCAACTCCCATAATCTCTGACCGTTGGCAATACTGGCTAAGGCTGTTGGGAGTCTGGAGTCTGACACTGTCGGGAAAGTACCAGGTTGAGCTACAGCAATGTTGTCAGCACAAGTCAAATTGACAATTCCATCGCTTAAGAAAAAGAAGAAGAGTGAATAGAATTATTTAATTGTAACAACAGTGACTCAGGACATGGGAAACAATTTCATCGACTGGAGATTTCGGTGCTTCTATGGGAGAATCACAAGGAGTGAGGAGTTGGTGGGAAATGGCATCAAGATCTTTTATGGGAAGCAGTTAATAAATGGAATAAAAAACAAATTATCAGAATGCCGCCGGGCTGTAGTGGCAGATATAGAGGTTAGGGCAGCATAGTTCGGATGGAGGCTATGAAGCTTCAAGCAGGTGGTTTTAGCCAGGCTATTTTCCAGGTTGCCCAAATTGATCCCTGACATGATAGCGCAAAGGAGGAGAATTTCCAACTGTTTCCTTTCTGTCCTTCCATCTATTGGTGGCTTCATTGGCATTCATAATAGTTCATAACCTTTCCCCCCGCATTTCTTCGCAGTGTGCCAGAGGAGTACCTCAACAGAAGGTCCCTTGAATTGGTGGAAGCCTTACGGGAACATCCCCAGAACCCCAATCAGATCTTGATTGGCTACAGCAAGGGCCTCATTGTCCTCTGGGACTTGATAAATAACAAAGCAACACACCATTTCCTTGGCAATCAGGTAATAATACCTTCTGGGGCTGTGAATTGCAGCCAGGAAAGCTTTTCATTCCTGGAATATACAGCAAGGTGCAGGGAGAATTTGGTATAGGAAAACAGAACAGGAAAGCCTACTTGAGCAATTAAATGTGCATTCTATGTAGCATGTTGTAATGCAGTCCTGGAACCATTTTTTAATGCTGGTGTGGAAGAGGCAAACCCAGCTGGTGGATGGTTAACCTTGTAGTTCATTTACACAAAGTCACCCTGAGCTGGCACACATGAAGTTAGCCCCTGGGCTACAGATCTTCAGTCCTTAGAATAAGATTGCACCCATAACTGTGTATAAACTGCACATACCACCCCTCTCCAAATCCAGTTCTATGTTTGGAATAAGCTTTAAGTCAGGCTTGCTAGAGGCCACCTTTTAGTTTCTGACCCTTCAGCGGGGTACTGTAAGTGCAAGTTTTTCATTTGTTCCCTCGTAACCACGAGGGCTAAGAAACTTACCGTATTTTTCGCTCTATAAGATGCACCAGACCACAAGACGCACCTAGTTTTTGGAGGAGGAAAACAAGAAAAAAAATATTCTGAATCTCAGAAGCCAGAACAGCAAGAGGGATCGCTGCACAGTGAAAGCTGCAATCCCTCTTGCTGTTCTGGCTTCTGGGATAGCTGTGCAGCCTGCATCCGCTCCATAAGACGCACACACATTTCCCCTTACCTTTTAGGAGGGAAAAAGTGAATCTTATAGAGCAAAAAATACGGTATTTCCATTCTCTGACACTTGCATGCAATGCCGTCCTCGTGATGGTCAGGTGGCCGAATTCTGTGACTAGCAGAACACACACGGTTCTTAGTGGGGTGTTTCTTCTGAATTGGACTGCAGTGGCGATGAGACCTTTGAACTTTTGTTTGCTGATTCTCCCTAGCAACTGGAAAACCTCTTCTGGCAGAGGAATGGCCGCCAGATCATCAGCTGCCATTATGACGGGAGTTATGCCCAGTGGCCTGTCTCAAGTGATGATAGGCAGCCAGAGCCCCTGGAAAGCAAAGTGCCTTACGGTCAGTATGGGCGGGGGCTGGCAGTGCATGCCTTCGGAACCGTACATGATTTGATGTGTGCTCAGAGCAGTAAGTCTTTACAACATGGGGCCCACCAAGCTGAATGCCGCCCTCTTGAGGCTCAAACGTCTGAATTGTGCCTGCCTGAGGCGGCAAAAACAAGAGAATTGTTATATTGTGGCCTGCCGAAATGCATATGCCACAATATGTGGCCTTAATTAGAGCTCCACTGAATTGGAGCAGTGCCCTGGGCGGGTGATGGCATCTGAGGACCAAAGTCTTGCTAAAGTGATGGTGGCTTTCCAGACTTTGGAATGCAGGAGCCAGTGGGAAGTAGTTGGCTTTCTACTGTTAGGGGCGTCTTTAGTGAGTGACTGGTCTGTTTTTAGTACAAGTAGTTTCTCTATTGTTTGGTTCACAAGCAACCTTCATTACACAGGTATTCATGGTGCTTCTGATGGCACTGTCTGTGTGGATAGCAAGACGAGGCTGTCAGGGCAAAGTTATGTAATGAGCACTTTCTTCTTCATATGGGAAAATTAGGGGTGTGCTACCATGCCGTGTCAGGTTAAATGATAAAACTAAAAGATTCTCCAGCTACTTTCAGTCGTGTGGATTTTTGACTAAAATAATTGTCTTGGATTTGAAATGGTTTTATATGTGCAGTGGTTTTTATATTTGTTTATTGCATTGTGAAATTGCTTTGCAGTGCTTCACAGGTAGCGATACATAAAGAAATAATAAATTGACAACAATATAATAAAATAAGCATTTATTTAAAACATGGCATCTTCTTTAAAAATCTGCCCTTCTAGGTCCTTTTCCTTGCAAGGCCATCTCCAAGATTTACTGGCAAACAACAAAGAACGGGTAGGTACTTTGGCAGATATTACAATGCTGCCCATTCTCCTAAGATTCTAGAGTGACCTTTTAGTAACAAGAGCTGAGCTGCTGCTTGCTAGAAATTCTGCAGCTGACTGAGGTGTCAGCAAAAGTCCTCTCTTTATAATCTGAACACTGAAAGCTGATCCACATAATGGAAGGGCAGTTAGAAATTGCCTGCTCTTTCCAATCCACTCAGAAATAATACTGTCATAGTTTATATATATATATATAAATTAGGATTTATATCTTACATTTTACCATAAATTCCTTCCTGGGTGGCTTACAAACAAATAATCCTAAAACAATAACATTCTATATCTGTAGCAATATAATTAAAAAGGAGATAAAAGCAGCAAATGAAAACAGCTAAAAAGCAAACACAGTAATATTAAATATTATGAGAGAACAGGTGGACTTCTTGAGACATCTGAAAAATGATGTATTTGGTTCTAAGTGATTCTGCTAAAGGAGATTGTTCCACAGTTTGGGTGCCACCATGGAGAAGGCCCTCACTCCGCTGACCACGGTTCTGACTTTTTGAAAGAGGGAAGGGGGCACACAGAGAAAGGTGCTTGACAATGTTAACTGATGGGTAGTGAAAGCTGGCCTTGAGATCCTGTGCCCAGGCCACTTAGGACTTTAAAGCAGCAAATTTGTGCTTCTCTGATTGCTGGAGACTTAAGAGAAATTCTAAAGATTCAGGGGAATGCATTTTGCCACAAGAGAGAATTATTCTGTCTCTGCAGTGGTTTGGTTAGCTTGTAGCATGAAATGCTTTTAAGTTGGAGGAAGGTACCTAAATTGTATATCTGTTGCATTTTCTTTTTCTCTAAGGCTTCCTTACATTATATTTCAAGGAGGGATGCCACGGGCCAGCTATGGTGACAGGCATAGCATTTCTGTCGTTTATGGCAATCAGCAAACTGCCTTTGACTTTACATCGCGAGTGATAGACTTCTTTGTTATTGCCAATGCAGATCCACTTGCAGGTATGTGGCGGATTTTGATTTCTCGGGGAGCTTTAGTTGGAACTACATTTTACTTTGAGGGTTCAGATTCTGGGTGTTGCTTGGAGTTGAAATACCCAATGTGTTGTTATTAGCGCCCAGATTTGGGTGATCATTGTGAAATACTAGTTGTGTGTTGGATTTTTTGTTTTACAGTATTTTATTTTTTGGTAAGCTAGTAAACGGAATGATGTTTTGTATTTATAGGCTCCATCTTTTGGGAGCCAAAAATGTAAAGCATTTTGATAGAAATATAGAAAACCTTGATAGCAATTACAGCTTTCAGCTGTAAAAATGACCATTGGAAATCTTTCATGGGGGTAGGATTCTGTTTCATATTGCTAGATCAAGTACCGTATTTTTTGCTCTATAAGACTCACTTTTTCCCTCCTGAGAAGTAAGGGGAAATGTGTGTGTGTCTTATGGAGCGAATGCAGGCTGCGCAGCTATCCCAGAAGCCAGAACAGCAAGAGGGATCACTGCTTTCACTGCGCAGCAATCCCTCTTGCTGTTCTGGCTTCTGAGATTCAGAATTCTTTTTTCCTTGTTTTCCTCCTTCAAAAACTAGGTGCGTCTTGTTGTCTGGTGCGTCTTATAGAGCGAAAAATACGGTAGATATTACTGAACTACAACCCGCATCATCACTGACCATAAGCCATGCTGACTGCAGCTTATTTGTTTAAGAGTTTTTATACCTCTTGGCTAACAACACAGCATACAGTATAATTTAAGCAGGAATATAAAACAGGTGTAAAACCAGATATCCATTATAAACACAGCAACACTAAGTCTAAACTCCAACCAGCACCAGCACCATAATATTCCGTATAAGTTGGAAGTTCAGCAACATCTAGAGGACCACAGATTACCCACTATTACACTAGAGATTCTTCATAGACTGCATCTGCAGTGCTGCCCTTAATTACTCTCCGAGTTGTGTATCAATTTCTTGAAATTATTTATACACTGTTATGAAAAGTGCTCAGTGTGGTTTACTGTAAAATCCATTAAACGATAGAATCCAGCGGCATTAAAAGTCAGCACAAAGCTTAACTAAACAGATTGGGACAAACAGCTGGCATCCATAGCAAACACTTCAGTAAACAGGTAAGTTTTCCACGTGTGCTGAAACTGCATCACTGTAGGCATATGACTCATTTAGTTTTACAAACACATGGCTATTAGTGAGAAGGAAGTCAGCCCTGTTCTCCTTGTCCATGAAAACAGACTTTTAAGGTGAAAGGACAATGTTTTACCTTCCTGCTGCAGCGGTACCTGTTTATCTACTTGCACTGGCGTGCTTTCAAACTGCTAGGTTGGCAGCAGCTGGGACAGAGCAATGGGAGCTCACCCTGTCACGGGGATTCGAACTGCCAACCTTCTGATTGGCAAGCCTAAGATTGCTTCTGGGCAAGAGGAGTAGTGTTAGGTGGAGTTCCTCAGCATTTTGGGTCTGAGCGATTGTCTCCCAACTTGTTGTTGCACAGCTGTTCACACAGGCCACGTGTGCAACAGGGCATACAGGAACTGAAGAAGGAAGTGCTACAACTGCTGCAGGCTTAGCCCAGGAAGTCGTTCAGTCATCTGAGGTTCCTGTGGTTGGCCAGCTTCCCTGTAACTGACCGCTTAAGCCTAATGGGAATCTGCCTTGGCTCACCTCACATGCTCCTTCCTTCGCTCAACAGAGTGTGAGAGTGGGCCACTCATTGTGCACCAAATCCACTTAGGTTAATGTGTAATGCTTATGTAATGGCTCTGGTGGTGTTGGGAAGCTATTCTTTCACTTACCGAGTGTCCGTGCTGTGGGCAGGATGCTTTCAGAGCTGATCATTTGGGGCAACTTCTTACAATGCGTTATGTAACTGGTGAGGTGGAGGACAGAAATGCTTTGTATCGTGTAAGTTGTGTGTAAATGGCTGCTTTTCCTGTCCTCTTCATTACACGAGAGCAGGGCTTCTATCTTTTCCAGTAAGTGGGGCTGAAAGGGTGGAAAGCAGTCTTTTTTGCAATTGGCTTGCTACTATAGTTGGAGTACAATGTATGCCTGTTGTCTCTGCCTCGGTACTAAATGCACCATTAGAAACAACTCTTTGAGATTGCTTAATGCTACTACTTGGCAACTTCCAGTGAAAGGATACACGATCAACTATGCTCAGCAAAGAGGACTTTGCTAGCAACGTTAACTTTCAACGCACTTGGTGCTTGGAAATTTTTGCAGATAGGGGGTTCCAAATAAGTTGTCTTAAGCTTTTATCCCTCCCTAGTAGTTCGAAAGCACGTCAAAGTGCAAGTAGATAAATAGGTACCACTCTCGCGGGAAGCTAAACGGTGTTTCCGTGCGCTGCTATGGTTCGCCAGAAGCGGCTTAGTCATGCTGCCACATGACCCGGAAGCTGTACACCGGCTCCCTCGGCCAATAAAGTGAGATGAGCGCTGCAACTCCAGAGTCATCCGCGACTGGACCTAATGGTCAGGGGTACCTTTACCTTTACCTTATGCTGAAATGTGAAAACTGTGGGCAGTATCCAACCACTTCGTTCTGTCAGCACAAGGGTTTCTGCTTGCATAGTGGAACACCGCCCCGCCCCCATGGACCCTTCTAAATCTGTTATGGGTTTCCCCCCAACCCTCTAGAGCAGATTTGAAGCGGGTGTGAGGTGCACATGGGGGAGGGGGAAGTTCCTTTGTGCAAGTGGAAATCCTTCTGCTGAAAGAACAAATTAGTTGGATTCTGCCCTCCCACAAACCCCCATAGTTTAATGTTCCATAGAAAACAAAAGGCTAGCATGTATAATAAATAAAGAGACACTTGATTACTATACCTGGCATCCCCATATTATTTGATAATTCACACGTTCCAGCCCTATATGATGGATCGCGGTATCTATGGGCAGTGTAGAAATTGTCAGTGGCAACAGATGCTGAAGAACCTTTCTTTAAAAGGAGCAGGGTGTTCAGCCCTTTACAAAGCCTCTCTCCTGATTAGAGAGTCATTTGTATGTTTACTCAGAAGCAAGTCCCGCTGTTTTCAACGGTGCCTGCTTCCAAAGTAAGTATGTGTAGGATTGCAGTTTTAGTCTGTTACCCATATGAGTGGTGCCTGTCCATTGATTGGCTAAATTTGCTTATGAGTATAAGCAACACGTTTCAAGAAAATTGCACCCTTCTGTTGGACTGTGCCTGCTCTGCAATATAGGTGCATACATCAAAAGAGGCATTCTGTCCTATGTGCTTTTCTTAACATAGTGGTTCATACCTCTGTTAATGTATATAATCTGCTGTGAGGTAATTGGGACCATTTTTTAAAAAGTCTTATCAGAAGATATTAGTTGCTTTAAGTTTAAACCATGCAGTCCTACTCCCTTAAAACCTACATGTGGTTTTAAAATTACAAATACTGAAATGATAAAACATAAAGGGAAGTTGTTTAGGGAAGTTTTTTAATGTTTGATGTTTTATCATGTTTTTAGTATTCTGTTGGGAGCCGTCCAGAGTGGCGGGGGAAACCCAGCCAGATGGGAGGGGTATAAATAATAAATTATTATTATTATTAAAGGGACATATAGGAGGGGGCTTTTTGTTTCGTTTTAAGGAACAGCCTTCTGGAAGCACAACACACCCAACAGTATGCATTAACTCGGTGCAGACAAGCGCTTGCCGAATTGCCTCTATCCATTTTAAATTACTGTAATACTTCAGTTAGTTTAAAATGCACCATGACTTCTTCTTTTTATTGCAAAGGTGCTGTGCATCTCTATGTTGGAGGAGCCACCTTTTGCCAAGTTCATTTATAACAGAAAACAATACGACATGTGATTCTGTGACACATCGTGCATTTTGCTTTCCAAAAGCAGAGCAGTGATGAGTTTCTGTAGCCGGCTGCAGAAGCGGCTTTCCCTTTGTAATGAAATTCTTCTTGTTCTCAAACGGATCAACCGCTCTCAGAACCATCAACGCTGCTACATTTTAAGCAGCTTACTTTGCTGGGATTGGCCTAAGTTCCTAGAAATGGTCTAACATACCACTAACTGGGTCACTGCTGAGCATGCACAATGCAGCCTGTCTTTTACCCATTAAAGGATGGCAGATGAAAAGAGTCACATAGCCCACCTGCTTGCATCGGGTCCTTGATTTCCAGTTCACGGCCATTTCACGTGACATTTTTTACTCCATAGATAATCTTGGATAAAGCACATAAATGGCCTATTAGGGGTGTTGGCAATTGCACCACAGGAACTTGGATCGGGCAGAAAAATAAAACTTGTGCTTCACAGACGTGCACTTTGTTGTTGTTGTTTTTGAAGAATTTATACCCTGCCCTTCAGCAGGTTTCCAGGCAACTTTCAAAGTGAACATTTCAATACAGCAAAGATGAAAGCAGACATGGAAACACCATAATATAAAAGAGCAGCATAAAGGAAGCGGGAGTAAAAACAAAAATTCAAAGCAGCTTAAAAACAAAGCACAGATGATTGCAGGGTGGGGAGCCCATCAGCTAAGTTTGACATAGAGTAAAACCCACTGGAATTAATAAACATGCCTAAGTTAATGAATTTCAATGGCTCTACTCTGCGTAAAGCTTTTGAAACTACTTTTTTGACTGGGAAAATAAAATATTTTTGCCTACTGCCTAAAGGACACTAGATTAAACTCTAGTTGGGCCTCCCTTCAGAGCCAGATTTAGGGCAGTGCGGTTGGTTCCCTCGCACTGGGCACCAAGCCGAGGGGGGTGCTATAACTATGATGCAGTGCATGCGCAGAATGGAAGATGAAAGGTAGGGACACCGAATTTTGGTCTCACAATGCACCACTGAAATTTGAAAGACCAAAGTCCACCTTTGCTCCCTTGAAGAGAGTATTCTGCAATTGGAGTTAACCACTGAGCAGAGCAATCTGTTCCCCACTTCATGTGGCCACACGGGAAAGCAAATTGTTCTGCTGAAGGGCTTTGAAGGCCGAAATCAACACTTTGACTTGAGCCCTGGAACAAATGGGAGAGACGGTGCAATTGACGAAACCACAAGCATAATGCGCTTTTGAAAATATGTTATTTTATATGTTCTTAATCCATTTAAAATATTTTACATACGTGTCTTCTTTCTTTTTTTAAAATTGTATTGTTTTTCTGCCTGGTTATTTGCCTCCATTGGGAGAAAGGAAAAGATAGAAATTCAATAAATAAAATGTATATAGTACCATCTCTATATTTTCCTCTTTGCCAGGGGCAGGCCTGGCTGATTCCTTTTCCAGGGGATGTGTGGTCTAAACTCGACCCATGGAAGAAGGATGAAAATAGAGACAAGGGTAGAGAAGGGGAGGAATTGTGTGATTATTTCAAGATCCATAATGTAACTAATATTGCTCAGCCCCAAGCCTAGATAAACCATGCTGCTTATTTGTGTCCACTGATGAAAGTACCGTATTTTTCGCTCTATAACACGCAGTTTTTTCCTCCTGGAAAGTAAGGGGAAATGTCTGTGCGTGTTATGGAGCGAATGCCTACAGATGGCAGGGGAATCCGCTGCAGTTGTGAGCAGTCCGTGGCTCTCTTTGAAACTGCAAAGCGGGTGTAAGCGGCTCCTGTCAGCGAGCCGAGCCGGGCAGGAGGGAGAGAAGCAGAGCGGGGTTGGTTGCTTTAAAACAACCCCGTGCTCTATGTCCCTCTCTCTTCTCCACTGAGTTGCTAAGTAGCAGCAAAGCTTTTCAGCCAGCCTAGCCGGGAGGAGGGAGAGAAGCAGATCGGGGCTGGTTGCTTTAAAACAACCCCGTGTCCCTGCCTGCAGTTTTTTGCTGTCCGATTTTGGATCAGCCACTGTAGGGGCTGTTGTGTGTGTGTGTGTGTGTGTGTGTGTGTGCTTGAGCTATCATTCTCCTCCTCCTCCTTCCTGTTCACTCTCACAGCGCCCCAGCGCTCTCCTGCGACTTTAGGAGTGATACTCTGTGTGTCTCTCTGTGTGTGAGGCATCGTTCTCCTTCTCTTGCTTCCCCTTCACTCTCCCAGCGCCCCTGCTACTTCCAGCGCCCCTGCGACTTTAGGATTGATACTGTGTGTGAGAGAGAGAGGGGGGGGGTCGTTCTCCTTCTCTTGCTTCCCACTCCCAGCGCCCCTGCCTCTCCTGCGACTTTAGGATTGATACTGTGTGTGTGTGTGTGTCTCTCTGTGTGTGTGTGTGAGGCATCGTTCTCCTCTTGCTTCCCCTTCACTCTCCCAGCGCCCCTGCGCTCTCCTGCGACTTTAGGATTGATACTGTGTGTGTGTGTGTGAGAGAGAGAGAGAGAGGGGGGGGGATCGTTCTCCTTCTCTTGCTTCCCACTCCCAGCGCCCCTGCCTCTCCTGCGACTTTAGGATTGATACTCTGTGTGTGTGTGTCTGTGTGTGTGTGAGGCATCGTTCTCCTCTTGCTTCCCCTTCACTCTCCCAGCGCCCCTGCTACTTCCAGCGCCCCTGCGCTCTCCTGCGACTTTAGGATTGATACTGTGTGTGTGTGTGAGAGAGAGAGGGGGGGGATCGTTCTCCTTCTCTTGCTTCCCACTCCCAGCGCCCCTGCCTCTCCTGCGACTTTAGGATTGATACTCTGTGTGTGTGTGTGTGTGTGTGTGTGTGTGTGTCTGTGTGTGTGTGTGTGAGGCATCGTTCTCCTCTTGCTTCCCCTTCACTCCCCCAGCGCCCCTGCGACTTTAGGGCGACTTTAGCATGGATCCACATGGATCCTCAGGATTTTTGCATTGGGCTACCCCAAACTCACCGTCAGATCACATGTCTGTGGCCACAGCATGAACCACAAAAATCATACATCCACTGTTTTGTTTAGAATATTTTTTTCTTGTTTTCCTCCTCTAAAAACTACGTGCGTGTTATGGTCTGGTGCGTGTTATAGAGCGAAAAATGCGGTACTTCACGATCGTTTTCTTCCTGCTGCCTCTCCCCCAGTGAAATGATGGCTATTTATTGATTCCTGTTCCTGCAGAATTTGATGACCCATCTGCCATGGTGGTGCTAGCAGAGGAAGAGCTAGTAGTCATAGACCTGATGTCTCCAGGCTGGCCATCGGTCCAACCCCCGTACCTGGCATCTCTTCACTGTTCAGCCATCACATGTTCCCACCATGTCTCCAACATCCCTCTCAAGTTATGGGAAAGGATCATCAGTGCCGGGAGTAAACAGAACTCCCAGTTCTCTAATATGGTATGACTTGCATGCATGAACATTAGAATGGAATGAACGAGTCCCTTTCATATTAATACTGGATTTCATACTGCATCTGAAGTCCCGCTTGAGAGATAGAAGGCACAAGCAAAGGATGAGTCTGTTTCAGCGATGTAATCTTGCATTCCAGCCTGAGTACTCAAAGATAATTATGGCCCCCAGACCCAAATCTGTTTGCTTATCTCATTTATTGCATTTATATCCTGCTTATCCCTCCAAGAAGATCAGATTGGCATACGTGGCTCTTCTCCCCTATTATCTTTGTAACGAACCCTGTGAGATAAGTTAGGCTGTGAGAGACTAGCCTAAGGTCACCCAGATAGCTTTCATGACTGGGTGGGAATTTGAACCTGATCTCCCACATCCCAGCTCAGCATGCTAACCATTACACCACACTGGTTCTCTGAGGGCACTGTAGGAATAATGCATTTTATAAGCTCTCTCTGCCTTCCTTGGGGAGCAAGGCCTTCTCTGTTCACTGACTCCAGAGGTCCTGGGGTGCTCCAGTGAGATCTCACAGGTCTTTCCAAGTTCCCATGACGTCTTGCACAGGGGCATCTCAGACCTGGTGCGTCGAGAGGGCCTTGCTTCCCAAGCAAGACAGAGAGCTTAAATGCTCTTTTTGTGCTAGGAAAACGCACCACAAAAAGCTCTCTGCTTTGCTTGCTTTTAATTTGTGGGATTGCAACCAGCGGCCTTCAACAGCATATGGTTGAAATTGCTGAAGTGTTAAACACGTGTAGGATGCAATGTAAAAGGTAAAGGGACCCCTGACCATTAGGTCCAGTTGTGGCCGACTCTGGGGTTGCGGCGCTCATCTTGCTTTATTGGCCGAGGGAGCCAGCGTACAGCTTCCAGGTCATGTGGCCAGCATGACTAACCCGCTTCTGGCGAACCAGAGCAGCGCACGGAAACGCCGTTTACCTTCCCGCCGGAGCAGTACCTATTTATCTACTTGCACTTGACGTGCTTTCGAACTGCTAGGTGGGCAGGAAGGATGCAATGCACTGCACAAGAAAACATGCAGAATTGTATTGTTAGTTTGCCTGCGCAACTTGTCACAGAATTCAGAAATTTAATAACTTTAATTTTGGGGTGTTTGTGGCTCAGGGACTGAGGATCTGTTTTGCATGCAGAAGTTCCTAGGTTCAGTCTTGGGCATCTCTTCTCCGAAACCCTGAAAGCCACTGCCAGACAGTGCAGCTAGAAGAACCATTCTTCTGATCTCTGTTTTAAGGCAGCTTCTGTGCACCCCACCCTAATCTAGATTTCTGGTTCCCTCCGTTGCAAAGGACTCTGGCTTTGAGCTCACATCTAGGTGCAGACAAGCAAATTTTACATGTTTTGTACACTACTGAGAGATCAGAACACTTGAAGACAATACAGTGGTACCTCTGGTTACGTACTTAATTCATTCCGGAGATCCGTTCTTAACCTGAAACTGTTCTTAACCTGAACCACCACTTTAGCTAATGGGGCCTCCCGCTGCCGCCACGTGATTTCTGTTCTCATCCTGAGGTAAAGTTCTTAACTTGAGGTACTATTTCTGGGTTAGCGAAGTCTGTAACCTGAAACGTATGTAACCTGAAGCGTATGTAACCCGAAGTACCACTGTATTCTGCACCCTGACAAAGTTGCAGTTCCTATGGGTTCGGTTTCAGAAAGCCCCAATAGTTACAGTTTGCAAATATTTACAAGCTTTCTGCAGCAGCAGCTGCTTACAGAAAAAAAAAAAGTAGGTTAATGGATTCCTCCCCATCTTATATTAAACCTTAGCATAAGGAAATTGGCTAGTAAAACCTTAAGAATGTATGCCTTAATCCAAACAAAGCTTAATCTGCATAGATTTGGTGTTCAATGCTTTCCTGCTCCTTCTGTGTCTTCATTGCATATGTACTTCCAACTTTGCATCCATTCTGTCCCAATTTCTGTTTTCTTAGCAATGGCCAATTAATGGAGGCACCAGCAAGGCTCCAGATCCTCCCCAGAGAGACTTGCTACTTACTGGGTAGGTATGAAAACAGACGTTCTTCCTCTGGTTACCATTCTGGAGCTTCTGACCTCATGTTTTGTTTCCACCTCTGCTTAGTCAGTCTAATACAGCGTGTGAGGATCATCATTTGTGCAACAGCCATTAAACTGATTACCTTTTTGAACTTGGGTATTTAACACTTCAATGGTAATGAACTCTTCTGAAGGCAGAAAGTTCCAAAACATTACCGGTTTGTGTGCGTATATGTGTATAAAAAGTCTCACATCAAGTGGATGGGATGGAAAAATCAATTTCGTTTTGTCCCTCCATATGTCTTTCTCTGTACGCTAAATAGGGCTTCGTTGCTGCTTTTCATCCGGAATTTAAAATATACCGGTATGTATCCTTAATACTCCTGCAAGGACGAAAGAGGTTTCCTGTCAAGATCCCTGATAAGATTCTCCCAATTAATGGTCCAGGCATCCTGCCAGCCATGCTAAAAGGATAACATTAGCATACAGGAGCTAGAATACTCGGTGTCCCTGAGAACCGAATGTACTGATGTTGTGGAGAGAGGATTGAACGTAAGAGCCCCTCACCAGACTTCGTAAAACCCAGTGGGATACAAGCTAATTTCTGGAATGTCGCTTGGTGTTTTTCAAGCAGCAGTGATGCAGGGGGAGAATTCATGTTGATTCACCCAAGCAAGCTTGGTGCCTCAAGTGCCGCAGCGTGGTGTTTTGTGTTACTTATTTAACACTTTGTATACCACCCCACAAGTTAACGTGGTTTTACAGTTTCGGAATAATGGCTGTGGATGTAAGAGGCATGATACAATAGAGAACAGAGGGGCCAGGTTGCCCTGCAAATTGGTGATGTGATGGAGGAGGCAGAGTGCTCTGGAGGAGCCAGCCACTGGAACTGCGACACACAAGTCATCGCACGTTGTGTGCAGGGCCACCTCAAGATCGAGGGGGCCTGTTCCCCTTAAAACAAATACTGAGGGAGCCGAGGTGTCTTCGCCCCCCCCCCCAAGTTGATGCGCCTGATAGGGAAATGGTAGGAGGAGGGGGGGAAGCCAGGTCAGGTGCCAGCCGTTTAACACTGTTAAAGAATGGCCAAGCTGAAAGGTCACCACAGGAGATTGCTTGAGGAGAGGGGAGGAGCCCAAATGGCATCTGGTCCCAGCTGAGCTGATGGAGTGGTCCTTGCTGTCGACTGGCCACTGATGGGAGACAACATGGATCTAATTAGGCGGCTGCGAACGCATTTCTGTGCACGCCCATCAGATTATTCCTGTCAAGATTTATTTTAAACGCTCGCTGCAATGCATGTTCTTTAAGTTGACTTCACTAAGCTGGACCTAACAAGAGCCTTTTTAGAGCGTTAGCCACAAGGAACTAAAGCTCTTTCAGCCTGACAAAAATATTAATAGCTTAAGTTTGTGTGGAAACATATATGGAGAGCAGTTAACTGCCTTGGGTGGTAGTCTTCAAAAAAGTCAGGAACTTCAGGAAAGTCCAGTAGTTAGTAGTAGTAGTTGTCGTAGTAGTAGTAGTAATAATAATAATAATAATAATATTTATTTATTTATACATACATACATGCATACATACATACATACCCCACTCATATGGCTGGGTTTCCCCAGCCACTCTGGGTGGCTCCCAAACAGAATATTAAAAACACGATAAAACATCAAAAATTAAAAACTTCTCTAAACAGGGCTGCCTTCGGTTATCTTCTAAAAGTCTAGGCTTCCCCGGTGGGCTTGGAAGCAGTGGCAGGCAAGCTTCCCTGAAAGACCCTTTGCCCACCATTGCAGATATTTCTTTGCAATGTGCAGACAGAGGGGTGTGGTTCTGGGTATATAGTCTTCCTTTGTACTGGGCCCCAGTGAGGTTCTGTATGTGTGAGTTGGCTATTCACTCCACCAGAATCCCCTTTGTTGTGCATCAGTTCTCCAGCAGTCAAGTCAGCGTAGAAAGGGGATCACGAAGGAGGAAAGTTTTGTAGCTGTCTGAGCTATCCGTATTTAAAGAATCAGTCCAAAATGATTTCAGTGGCTCATGTGGCAAATGTTCAGTGTGTTCACTTACCTGGAAAGTAAGCCGTGCCGCTGGTGTAATCTGCTTGCCCCCTTCATTTCTCTCCCTCCCCCATCAGGCATGAGGATGGCACAGTACGATTCTGGAACGCGTCCGGCGTTTGTCTGAACCTCCTGTATAAGCTGAGCACGGTGAGGGTGTTCCTCACGGATGCTGATCCCAATGACAATCTGAACCAGATGGGGGAGGATGAATGGCCTCCGCTGCGCAAGGTGAGGAGTCCGTGGCCCAGCTTAAACCTTCCGAAGCCAAGGCCTGCTGAACTGAGCGGCAGAGAAGCCTCCCCGCAGAAAACCTTGCTTTGTATTGATATGGTCTTTTCTTTCTTGCCTGTCTGCCCTGCTAGGTTGGCTCCTTTGACCCTTACAGCGATGACCCCAGACTTGGGATCCAGAAGATCTTCTTGTGCAAATACAGTAGCTACTTGGCCGTGGCAGGAACAGCAGGGCAGGTACTGAAATGCACTTGGATAGACTGTTGGACTGTATCCAGTAGCACAGGCCTTACTTTATCTTTTGCCCCCATCAGTTGGGAAATGCGGGAGTCTGAACTTCCCTACATGTTATGCGCTGTGTTCTACATTAACTTTTCTCCAATCCTAGTGATTTGCGGAGTGTAGGAAGCATTCTGTACATGTTCAGATACCGTCATGTGCAAATTTATTTGTACCATCTACACCATTGTAACTGCCAGCTGTGCAGCCAATCACTAGTTAAGCTGTTGTTCTGGCTTGTTCATCTTTGGGTTTTCAGTTTGAATTTGTTCGCTCTCTAAATTATTGTGTTGTTTTGGCCAGCTGGATCCTGGTAGTATATACAGTCATACCTCGGGTTACGGACGCTTTAGGTTGCATGTTTTCGGGTTGCGCACCGCGCCAAACCCAGAAGTACCGGAACAAGTTACTTCTGGGTTTCAGCGCTTGCGCATACACAGAAGCACTAAATTGCGCTTTGCACATGCACAGAAGCGCTGAATTGCAACCTGCACGTGCGCAGACGCGGCGCTGCAGGTTGTGAACGTGCCTTCCACACAGATCATGTTTGCAACCCGAACGTCCACTGTATAGTAGGAATGTGTGTATATATGACTTTATATGTGGCAGTGTCTGTATACCAGAACAAGTAGGGAAGATTAAGTTGCTAAGTTGATACTAGGCGAACCATTCCACTAGTCAGTGGACTGTGTTGACAATGCAAACTTTCTGGGCTAGTTTCCAGCTTGCTACTTAATTTTTTTCTATCTCTGCTCTTTAATTCCCTGTCAGAGAGCACCAAGGAGAATCCTTAGTTTTGAATTACTGATTTGGAATAGAGTGGCCCTTTCCATGGAAGACATTTTGACACTTCCTGCCTCAACACCACCGGCCTATTGAAAGCTTTTGTTGCTGTTTAGACTGCGGAAGACAGATGCTCTGCCCCATATAATTAGATAAAGAAGGGTGGAATGGGGACAAATATGCATGTCTTCTCCTGTGAAATGCAAAGCTTTTCAAAGAACCTTAATTCAGGTTAGAAGATAGTTACAACTTGCCCTTGGGCTCTCAGCTGTGATGCGCCCACTCCTCTTCTTTTTGGCTTTCTTAACTTTGAACTGTATCAGATCACCTTCAATGTTGCATTTTTAAATTGCTGTTCTGGAACCTTAAGGTCAGGGCAAGTAATAAATCAAAATAAATAATAATAATATACACCGGCTCCTGGCATCCGAAACACACTCTTCAGAGTAGATTCCCACTGCACTTGTAAGAGTCATGCTGCTCTTTCAAAAAACCAAAACAACACGCCTGCTTGAGTCATGTGGGCATTGGCCGCAAATGTCAGTTCACATTGGATTGCCAAACGAGCTGCTTTGCCTCAGGGCTAGCAACTTGCCCAACCCACCTGTGATGAGAAAGGAGCAGCATGTAGTTTTCTGAATTATGACTCTTCTACTGCTCTTTAAAGACTTCGAATGGGTGAGTGCAGATCATCATGAACCAAATGGGTAACTCAGTCTGTTATACATATAACTGCCAGGCCTCTCAAGCAAAATGTCCTGCCAAAGCTGTGGGCAGAGAATCTTGTCCACATTAGGTCAGAAATAAATGAAAGCAGTGGATAGATTTAGCATTGCTGCAGGGCAGAAACATAAAGACTATTTTTGCCAAGTAGTTAAGTGATATGATATTCATGAACGGTGGTTGTTGCTGGGGTTTTTTAAGTGGTGTTGTCCTTACATTCCAATGTATTTGGGTTTTGCTGCTTCTTTTGATTATATGTTGTGCCAATCACTTTCAAAAGCTGCCTTGAAAGTATCTGAAAAGGTGGGGTAGAAATAAATTGAAATAAGACTGCTAATGCTTCTTTGATTCACAGTGTGCTACAAGAGCCACTTGGTAAATGACTGCTTCTGTTGCATAATTACATAAGCCTACAACCTCTTTTCTTTTGTTTTACTTCAAAGTGCATCACGCTGCAGGAGGGTGTTCATACACTTAATCAAAAAGTGAATTGGGTTAGCTTGAACTCCCCTGCTGCTGATGTGATGTTGAAAAACTAGCAAGGAAGGATATAGGTGAAATGCAAAAGTATTCCTCAGTGCTTTCGAGGGTAAAGGCCCAGAGGAGGAAATTTGTCATGGCCTTCGTTCTTGCACAAACTCTGTGGGTTTTGCAATGCTAAGGTTTCAAAACACAGTTCCGAATGACCTTCTCCCTTTTCCCTACCCTGCCCTGTCCAGGTACTCGTAATGGAGCTAAATGACGAAGAAGCAGAGCAGGTGGTTGACCATTCAGAGGCGGACCTCCTCCAGGATCAGGAAGGCTATAGGTGGAAAGGTCACGAGCGGCTCAAAACTAAAGATGGGCCTGTTCGGTTTGAGCCAGGCTTCCAGCCCTTTGTCTTGGTCCAGTGTCAGCCGCCAGCTGTGGTCACTTCGCTGGCCCTTCACTCGGAATGGAAACTCGTAGCCTTTGGCACAAGCCACGGTTTTGGGCTCTTTGATCATCAGCAGAAGCGGCTGGTCTTTGTCAAGTAAGGGGGTTACTTCCTGATTGAGATGATAGATAGATAGATAGATAGATAGATAGATAGATAGATAGATAGATATAGGTAGGTAGATAGATAATGTTTAAATTGTATTCCTGACACAGTGTAGGGTTTAGGTGAAAGTCTTGCATTGAACGTCCAGCCATTTTCAAAAGCCATGTGCTTAAACAGGGTTTTCCTGTCAGACTGGTGAGGCGTAGTTCAATCAGTGAACTGGAAGTCCTTGATAAAAATCTCAGTTCAGGCAGGAAATTACTTATAATAATAATAATAAATTTTATTTATATCCCGCCCTCCCCAGCCGAAGCCAGGCTCAGGGTGGCTAACAACAATAAAATAATACAACATTCGGCAAAGCATTTTCTTCCCAGCCTTAGGATTAGATCTGCAATAGCTTCTTCTGATCGTTTAAGCGGGTTCTCACAGTGGCCCTCCAGATGCCATGGGAAGCTTGCAAGCAGGGCTGGACACAGCGACGCTCTCCCCGCCTGCAGTTTCCTGAAGAGTGGCATTCAAAAGCACACTGCCTCTGACAGTGGAGGCAGAGCAGAGCTGTCATGGCTAGTAGCCACTGATAGCCTTATCCCTCTCCTTGAATTTATCTAATCCTCTTTTAAAGCCATCATTGTGGCCCTCATGGCGTCTTGCCAGAGCAAGTTGCATAGTTTTAATTACGCACTGTGTTAAGTTGTTTTGTCTGTCCTGGATCTTCCGGCGTTCAGCTTCTCCGGATGTCCTTGAGTTCTAGTGTTCTAGGCGAGAGGGAGGAAAAACTTCCTTGTCCACTTTTTCTATGCGGACACCATGCGTCATGTTGTATGCTTCTGTCATAATGGCTCTTTCTTGACTTTTCTCTCAAGTTACAAAGCCCCACTTGTGTGGGGGTGGGTAGGCAGCAGGTACCCCCAACATATTCAGGAATTGGGGAGTTGGAGAGAACTCTGCCTTCCTCCTAGCCCCCACAAAATGCTGAGATCCATCCCTGGCGGCCGAGGATTACTCTACTCCAAAGCAAGAAGTTGTTTCCTGACCACAGCTTAGTCAACACTATTAGGCTCAGGCAGGCGTGCTCTCTTGAAGTCCAAAGGTCTTCTCTTCTCCCTTTTGTTGCCTTGGGGACAAAGGGAGGCTGAGCCCTCCCTTCCTCCTGATCATTATGGGGAGAGGTTTTCCCCACAAATGTTACAGGGCGGAGTACGCTTCCGCGAAATTAATACTGGTGTGTCCTACAGAGTGATAAAGATCATCAAAGTAATGCATTTAAAGTCCTAAATAGTATAATCCTTGTGGAATGTAAGGGCAAGGCCGTGTGAAATCTTACATGTAGCACTGTTTTTGAAAAGGAAAACAAAAACACACCATCAGATTTACTTTGAATCCTCAGGGCTGTTGAGAAACAGTGAAATGGATTTTACTGATGGAATACCTTTAGAGTTTTCTAGGAAAACTTTAGTGATTGCCAACATTCCACAAAAGCAAATACTGTGAACAATATAAAGTGTGCAGTTTAGAATAGTTCTGGTTTTCTGAATGCTCTCTTGCCTGGCTTGAGAACTGCAGGCAAAAAGCAGCAGCATTGTCCCATGTTGCTTTACATCTGGGGTGGCCACCTCAGATGATGTTGGGCTCCCAAGTCCCATCAGCCATAGCCTATGGGCAGGGATTATGAGACCTGCAGTCCAACAAGTATTTGCAGGACTACAGTTTCTTACCCCTGATGCAAAGCAACTAAAGGCCTTGCCAATGCCTGCGAACAGTATTTCAGACCTCTGTGCTGCAAAATGCGGTAACTCTCTTACTGGGTTTCCAATGTGTGGCTGCAACTTGACCAAAAACAGTTTGGTTTAAAAAGGAAAACTGAACCAGCCCTGTTGGTTTCCTCCTAGGTGTACCCTGCATCCCAGTGACCAACTGGCCTTGGAAGGCCCTCTTTCCAGAGTGAAGTCTTTAAAGAAGTCCCTCCGCCAGTCCTTCCGACGAATGCGAAGGAGCAGGGTGTCTAACAGAAAGCGACGAACTGCAGAGGTGAGGGGCTGCGCTGTCTCGGCTTCACATACAGTGGTACCTCGGGTTACAGACACTTGAGGTTACAGACTCCGCTAACCCAAAAATAGTACCTCGGGTTAAGAACTTTGCTTCAGGATGAGAATAGAAATTGCGTGGCGGCAGCAGGAGGCCCCATTAGCTAAAGTGGTACCTCAGGTTAAGAACAGTTTCAGGTTAAGAACGGACCTCCAGAACGAATTAAGTTCTTAATCCGAGGTACCACTGTATTCAGCAAAGCCTTGCTCTGGTGCCACGCGTGACTTTAGAAAAAGCCCCCTTGTACAGTATTGGATCTCAGCCTTGCCACTCATGGCGTTGATATGTCATATGAGGAGGAGATTCGGGCAGCTATAGGCTGATCCTTTTGGAGCAGAATTGTGCCAGTTTCCTGGAGTAAGGCGAACTTAGTCTTCTGCCATCATAAAGAGGTGCAAAAGGATTCATTACATGGCCTTAAAGCATTCAAAAATAGTTTCTCTTCTTCAAAGCAAGCATCCCTATAAGAAATGGCTTTTTTTGGAACTGGCTTGACTTCTTTTTAATAAAACCACCTGACACCAGCTAACATGCATATTACTGTATAAGACACCCCCATGTATAAGACGCCCTCTATTTTTTGGGACTGCAAATTGAGAAAATGGGGGAAGAATGTATCCGTGTATAAGACGACCCACAATTTTGAACATCATTTTTTAATAAAAAAAAAACCCCAAGTCTTATACACAGAAAGGTATGGTGTGTGTGTGTGTGTGTGTGTGTGTGTGTGTGTGTATTTAAAGATGCCATTTTATCATTCTGATCTCATTATCTGCTCACTTGAGAGATGCTAAATTGAATCGGGCCTTTAGTGTGGCCTCTACACTTTGGAATGGTATCTCTTACGTATTAGGCAATGTCCTCTGTTTTCTTTTTGACACCTACTGCAGACCTTCCTCTTCTGGCCTTTTAAGCACAGATCTTTATCTCAGTCTGTGTCTATACTGGAGCTATTGTAACTGCTGTTTGCATTGTTTTTAATATATGGGATTGTTTCCATTTTCTGTATGGAATGGTTTTTATCTGTTTTATGGCTGTAACTGTTTTATTTGCTTTTATAAATGTATTTTTTTTTTCTGTTGCAAACTGCCCTGGGACCTTACGGTAAAGGGCAGGTAAGAAATATAATAAAACGAACGAAAAGGGGTTGTTTGCTTAATTCTCGTTTTTGTTTTGCGGGCAGGTACAAGAGGGAATTTCCAGGCATGATCATGATGCATTGCAGGAGATAGAGCTAGCTCCTGTCCAGCGGAAGATTGAAGCGCGGTCAGCAGAGGACTCTTTCACTGGCTTCGTTCGCACCTTGTATTTTGCCGACACCTTCTTAAGAGACAGTGAGTAAGACCAGCTTCGATATTACACCCACAAAGTAATGTACATGGGTAGATAAAACCAGCAAAGTCTGGCATGGGGGTATAAGGAATGGTCTTGCTTGCTTTCCCTTGGTGATATGTGAAACTTTGGCTCATGGGCTTCATTATCTCTGGTCCAGGTTCCCGGCACTGCCCCTCCTTATGGGCAGGCACCAATGGGGGCACAGTCTATGCCTTCTGTCTGCGTGTTCCACCAGCCGAGAGAAGAATGGATGAGCCTGTCCGAGCAGAGCAGGGTGAGTGAAAAGATCAGACGACTTTCGATTTAGATGAAATAGCTGCCCCCCAGAATTAGGATTGAAGGTACCTTTGTAAAATGCCCTGGTGATGAAACCACAGAGACTCCGGATGTTTCTAGACTCCACCTCCCATCATCCTCTGCCTGTTGGCCATGCTGGACTGGGGCCGATGGGAGTTGGAGTCCAACAACATCCAGAAGGTTGCACGCTTCCCAGCACCTGACTCTTGAGAAGCCTTAGTGCTGAATGTGAAGTAGGGTGTCAGAATCTGTGAGTGCATTCTGGAAGAGCAAAACAAGACACATTTCACTGCAGGACTGTACCAGCCCCCAGGTATTGTTGGCAATTTGCAGTTTAGTAGCGCTGCAGAGAGCTTGCTGGGGAGACCATGCATTAAAAAGGGACTCAAAAATAACTTAAACAAGGTTTTAATAACAAAAACAAAAACTCCTTATACACTAAATACATCAACAACAAACCAGACCCAACCACCAACCCATCCCCCAGGGTAATGGGAGAGCTAGGTGCTGCTCCTTATATACTATACCCAATTGCTGACACAGCTTGATTAACACAACTCAGCAGCACCTGCTATGTTTCACAGCTGTAAGACTGGGTCTCGTTATTTGCCCTGGCCCTTAAAGACATACACAACTTGTGAAATAATAATGAACCTTCACATTTTAAAGTGACCATTCAACAGGTATGTGCTCTGATTCTTTTAGGAGCAGCATTTTTTGGTAAATAATGTGGTTTTCTGAAGGAAACACTCTTGTACATAAATACCTACCTAGAAATGTTGTGAGCTTGGGCAACAGTTTTTACTTAATTTTAGCCTCTGTACTTTTTTTGGAAAAGTCCTTAACATACCATAAAACAAGCCCAAGTGCTGTTTGTAAATGTTTCTCTCTGATCACAAAAATCTGGAAAATATTTCGTGTTTAAAAGTCAGGAGGGTCATGATAGAATTCATTTCCGTAACCATATCTATAGGACGGTTATGTGTATTTTCCTTACGGATCTAAGGAAGGTGGCTTGGCAGCTTCCCCTTTGGCTTCATGTGCCATTAATCACAGTTCAACCTCCAATACAGGGGTAGGCAAAGTCCAGAGCTGCTTTGTCTTTTACAGAAACCCACCAAGCAGAGCAAAGTGTAAAAGACATGAAGGATTAAAACAAAACAAAATAGGGCATCTTCGAGCACATTCTCAGCCTAGGAACTTGTTTTTAGTGCTGGAACTGAATTGAGCTCTCAGTGGTGTCACAAAAAATGTCTCCTGGTTTGGTTTTCTGCATTTCACAGTCTTATTTAGCCGGAAATAGTTGTTTTGTCTTTGTAGTGAAGCAACTGGGAGCCAGGAACTCTTGTTTGTCACCGCTAATCATCTAGAGATCTCCCACTAGACCCTGACCTTCATTTTGTCCCGTCCCCTCAATACCTATACTTGCCTTCGTACAGTGTAAAAATTGGCTTTTTGACTGCACCCAAAGAAATAATTATGCAGTTTCTATGCAGCATCACGGCTTAAATACTTCAGTTCTCCTCTAAACTCAATCACTTTTTAATGCTTATGTGTGTACAGTGGTACCTCTGGTTAAGAATTTAATTCGTTCTGGAGGTCCGTTCTTAACCTGAAACTGTTCTTAACCTGAAGCACCGCTTTAGCTAATGGGGCCTCCCGCTGTTACCGCCGCCGCGCGATTTCTGTTTTCATCCTGAAGCAAAGTTCTTAACCTGAGGTACTATTTCTGGGTTAGTGGAGTCTGTAACCTGAAGCGTCTGTAACCCGAGGTACCACTGTATTGTATTTGTATCCAACCCTTCTTCCAAGGAGCTTTGAGTACCATATGTAGTTCATTATTGCCACAACCACCCTGTGTGGTAGGTTAAGCTGAGAGATAGTGACAGGCCTCAAGTCAGCCGATGAGCTTCATGGCTGAGTAGGAATTTAAACCTGGGTCTCCCCACTCCTAATCTGAATCTCTAACCACAATGGATTGTGTCCAGTGCTGATGTGCAACACTGGGTTCATTCTGATATTTCCTCTCTGCTGCCCTTTGTATGTCCAACATGGTAGCTGGGTTCTGCGAGAAGTGTGCCTTGTCGGAACAGTTTGCTCTGGACCAAACCTCTTGCCTCATTTGGCGTGTGCTTTCTGCTGTCTCTCCAGCCAAAGAGATCCAGCTCATGCACAGAGCTCCTGTTATCGGGATCGTTGTTCTGGATGGCCAGAGCACTCCCCTTCCAGAGCCGCTGGAAGTGGCCCATGACCTTTCCAAGAGTCCCAACATGCAAGGGAGCCACCAGCTTCTTGTGGTGTCGGAAGAACAGCTTAAGGTAACACAATAGAGTGCTTGTGTATATGCATGTTCTTTGCCTATTGGAATAGAGCAGCCAGAGAAATTACAGTATGAGAATTCATTTCCTTTTGCAGATCCTTCCTGGAATTTGCTTGTTTTGAGGTTGTCACCTTTGCTGAAGGGCATGTTCAGATTTGGGGAGGTGGAAAAGCATACTATACGCTTGGAAGTTTGCAAAGATTCCAACCTTCCCTGCCACCTGAGCAGATCATAGAGTAATGTGCATTACTAACCCTATGTCTGATATACTTTCCCTACTTCTGAATTTGATAGTCGATAGTCTGCCCATAGATGCTTATCTAGAAAGGGGCAGAGTTGGGCTAAGGAAAGAAGACTGTTCAGGGATGTTGATTGCAAACCGGCTCTCTGCTTATTTTTATGTATCTGAGGATAGATGTTTGCAACCCCTGATAATCAGACTTGATACGACCTGGTCATGTGAGAGATGCTTGCAAATCCCTTATGTACAGCAGTGAGTGGCAGCAAAGTTTAGCTACTCCTCCCCTTGCCGCTGTCAGAAATCCAGGCTTTTTTGCTGCTGAAGGCAGGAGAGAGACTACACAGCTTCTTTTTGGCAGCTAGACTTAAAGCATGCTGCCTTGCTGCCACACACCAGCAGGAAACTCACTACGCATTGACCGGTGATTGGATGGCTCTTGCATGAATGAAGGATTTATTACGCAACTTGTTTACGTTGGCAGGTTTTCACGTTGCCCAAAGTCGGCTCCAAACTGAAACTTAAATTGACGGCCCTGGAAGGCTGCCGCGTACGGAAGGTGACAGTGACCAACTTTGCCAGCTGTAAGAGTGAGCACAGTGAGAATGACCTGGCTGTTCTGACGAACCTGGGAGACATCCAGATTATTTCCCTGCCTGCACTCAAGATACAAGTGCGCTACCCCTGTATCCGCAAGGAGGATGTGAGTGGCATTGCCTCCTGTGTCTTCACCAGATATGGGCAAGGTAACAACATGGTCATCCACAGGTTACCAAGCTCCATTGTGTTAGGTCTTGGAAGCCTTTCTGCCTCTTGTACAAAATAGATAAATGTGGGGTGGGGGAGGGAAGGGGGAGTTATTTTGTCCCTCTAGCCATAATACTGTGAAAGCAAGAAAGAAAAATATTAGTTGGGATAGTATTATCTGCTTTGAAGGTGACCCAGAAACTACAATGTGGCAGCTAAACTGGTGACTGGGAGCGGCCGTCAAGACCACATAGCATCGGTCTTGAAAGACCTACATTGGCTCCCAGTATGTTTCCGAGCAGAATTCAAAGTGTTAGTGCTGATCTTTAAAGCCCTAAACGGTCTCAGTCCAGTATATCTGAAGGAGCGTCTCCACCCCCATCGTTCTATCCAGACCCTGAGGTCCAGCGCCGAGGGCCTTCTGGCGGTTCCCTCATTGCGAGAAGCCAAGTTACAGGAACCAGGCAGAGGCCTTCTCGTAGTGGCACCCGCCCTGTGGAACGCCCTCCCACCAGATGTCAAAGAGAACAACAACTACCAGACTTTTAGAAGACATCTGAAGTCAGCCCTGTTTAGGGAAGCTGTTAATGTTTGATGCATTACTGTATTTTAATATTTTGTTGGAAGCCATCCAGAGTGGGCGGGGTGTAAATAAATAATAATAATAATAATTATTATTAAATTTGTATACCACCCTTCATCCAAAGATCCCAGGATGGTTCGCAACAAAAAAATACAAAATGAGGAAACAAAATACATAATAAAACATAAACAAGCCAGTAACCCCCCTCTCACAAATACATTTAAAAAGCCATAGAATGTTAATCAGTTGAATGCCTGGTTGAAGAGAAACATTGTTGCTTGGTGCCTGAAGATGTGTAATGAAGACGCCAGGAGAGCCTCTCGAGGGGAGAGAATTCCACAAATGGGGAGCCACTGCAGAAAAGGCCCATTCCCATGTTGCCACACTCTAGACCTCACGTTGAGGAAGCACATGCAGAAAGGCCTGAGATTATGAACGCAGGGTCTGGTTCGGTTCATATACAAAGAGGCGGTCCTTGAAGTACTGCAGTCCTGAGCTGTTTAAGGCTTTGTAGGTCAAATCCAGCACTTTGAATTGGGCCTGAAAACTAACTGGCAGCCACTGCAGTCAGGCCAAGATTAGTGTTATATGCTCAAACCATCTTGCCCCAGTGAGCAACCTGGCCCCTGAATTCCGCACCAGCTGAAACTTCTGAACCATCTTCAGAGGCAGCCCTATGTATAATGCATTGCAGTAATCTAACCTAGAGCATATTAAGTTTAAAAATGGTTTACATAGGGGGTCTGAAAACTGTGCGCGTGAGAGAACATTGCATGAGAATCAGACAAACATACAGTATTTGGAACTTTCCATGCATAGGAGTCCCAGAGATCCAGCTGAGAAATATTAATAGTAACATGGGATCTATTTAAAAAAATCTGTCACAAGCACCAAGCATGACTTTGGAAAGTGCTCACGCAGCTGAGCCTTTGTATGTTTACTCTGAAGTTAATTCCAGGTCCACCCCACCCCGCAATTGCCCTTGCTTCAAAATAAGTGTGTGTGGGTTTGCAACCTTAAGCTTAGTCTTCTGAGTGAGTAAGAGAGCCAGCGTGGTGTAGTGGTTAAGAGCGGTGGACTCGTAATCTGGTGAACCGGGTTCGCTTCCCCACTCCTCCACATGCAGCTGCTGGGTGATCTTGGGCTAGTCACACTTCTCTGAAGTCTCTCAGCCTCACTCACCTCACAGAGTGTTTGTTGTGGGGGAGGAAGGGAAAGGAGAATGTTAGCCGCTTTGAGACTCCTTCGGGTAGCGATAAAGCGGGATATCAAATCCAAAATCATCATCATCATCTTCTAAGATTTGTAAAAATGTATTTTGGGAAACTCTTGTGGGACCCTTTCTGCATCTGTGCATGCACAACTTGCACTTTCTCCATCTTTCTCCTCTGCAGGGTTCTATCTCATCTCCCCGTCAGAGTTTGAGAGGTTTTCACTTTCCCCAAAGTGGCTGGTTGAACCACGATGCTTAGTAAAAGTACCTGAAAACATAGGCAACAGCCATGTGCACAGCACACCTGGTGTGGAGAAGGCTTCAAGGATATCCAAGTATGAATAATTGTGGCATTTTCATTTTGTGTATTGTGTGGATGATAGAAAGGGTGCAACTTTCTACTTTGTATTGCTGGTTTTGTGTGTTGAATATGACACGCGTAGCCATGGGAACTGCAACAAAGGAGGCCCATGGTCACTCTGGAAAGGGGTTAGGTTGCTGTCCTGCCACCATATGCACCTACATGATCTGACAATGCCTCTGCTCATCCCCTAATGCAGTGTTTCCCAACCTTGTGCCTCCAGCTGTTTTTGAACTACAACTCCCATCATCCCTGACTAGCAAGACCAGTGGCAAGGGATGATGGGAATTGTAGGCCAAAAACAGCTGGAGGCAGAAGGTTGGGAAACACTGCCCTAATGCAGGCATAGGCAAACTTGGCCCTCCAGATGTTTTGGGACTACAACTCCCATCATCCCTAGCTAACAGGACCAGTGGTCAGGAATGATGGGAATTGTAGTCCCAAAACATCTGGAGGGCCGGGCTTCGGGGTGCCTGTTTTAAATGAGTCTGCCTATGCCTGCCCTAATGCCATCCCAATGTACTGACAAGGCTTTGCTTATCTGCCACCCACTATTCATTGTTCTTATTGAAAAAAGAAGTGGTTTTAAAAATGCTGAAGTTGCATATTGCCATATGTTCTGGTGCTGAGATTCTACCACCTGTGGAATGACTCTCCACAAAACAAAGCCTTCTGAGCTGGGTACAACATACAGTCCCCAGGCTGTGTAATCATTTTGTGTGTGCACTAGGTGGGATGGTTAAAGGGTAGCAGCAAAATATGTCAGAACTGGTACACATCAATTCTAGCTAACCACCTAACCATCTCCTAGTTGCCATAAGCGGATACGCCTCTGCCTAGACCGCTGACGGGGGTTCACATGGGGGAATATATATCTCCCTATCGGTCTATCCCTAGATGTAGAAAATCAATCAGTCGTTTTATTTGTATGACACGTTTCCAAAGCTAAAGCCATGCTGAAGGCAGAATACAACATGTACAAAATTTACAAACATAACAAAAGTAGTCTTAAAGAAAAAATCAAAGCATAGAGAAGGGTTCTTGTTGTTTTGCTTACTCTTCTTCTTGATACGTTAGTTTTCAATATGCTGGGGAATTTTATAAGGATGAGCAGTCATGTGAACTCCCACACAAATTTTGAACTGACTTAAAAGCTGAAGGTTTTTTAAGAGGCAGCATGTACCTGTCAAAGTAGCACAGTGTAAACCAAGGGTGCATGACTTTCTGTGTGCCTATGAAAATTGCATCTGACTTGCAATGTCTAGGGGGTTGGAATTGGTTTATGATCTTGTCTAATTGACTCTTCTTTCTATCTTCTGCAGTAGCAAGGAATCGGGATGGAGTGCCAGTGATCCAGGGGCAGATGGTAAGAAAAATGTGAATGTACGGAGAGAAATTGCTGGTCCAGTGCTGCCTGCTTAGTAATGTAACATAACATCCAGTTTGGATTACTCCAGTAGTGCAGTACAGGAAACGGCCCATGAAGGCAGGTCAGAAACTCAGATTGGCTTAGGATCTAGCTCAAAGGCTGTTGGCTTGTTTCAATAGGAGGGATAATGTCTTAAGAGCTTCATGGAGTACCAGTTTGTTTCTGGACACAATACAAAGTGCTGGTTGTGACTTGTAAAGCCCTCAGCCTAGGACTTGGGGTACTTATGTCCCATGTCAACCTACAAAGTTAAGATCTTCAGTTGGAGGCCCAGTCTTCTGAGAGTTTCTGCTTGTTTCCTTTCCAAGGTAGGGAACTTTAAAAAATGGGAGAAGGCATTCTGTACCACAGGAGCATAGGTTGGTGGAAGTATATTTGGTACAGCTGCTTGTATGTTGGCTTCAAATTCTAAAATAGGCTCTTAAAGACCAGATCATGAACATCACTCAGAGGAGTAATAGATTGTCAGAATCGGGTTAACTTGGCATTTTAAGAACTTCAGAGGGTGGATATGCCAAGCGTAATGGGTTGTCTTCAACTATGTTTTTACCCAGAGTAGAACCACTGAAATGAATGGCCCTAAGTTAGTCATGTCTCTTTATTTTAATGGCTCTACTCTAAGTAGAACTTACATTGAATACAACCCAATAAATCTAATGTATTTGGGGGGCGGTCTTTGTGAGTTTCTTTGTATCGTGGGAATTGACCGCCTTAACATTTGTCTGATTTGCCTTTCAGAGAGGACACATGGCAGATTGATGGAGCATGCCCTGCTCAATGATGAAAGTGAGAAAGACATGATTTCTTTCGTGCTATAGGGGTGGAGGGATGGGCATTCTGTGGGAATTGCCTTGAGCCACTTTATTCACTTGCTTCTGGTTATTGAGTCTGCTCCCCTCCTTAATACCAGCAGCCATACAATATTAGGTAGATTTCTCTTTGGGATGTTGTCTTCATGAGTTTGCCTCAATTAGGCAGGCAGTTGACCAGTAACATACCTGAACATGTCTATATTTGTGTACAGTTGCCCAATGGCGTCTCATAATTGCTCTTTGGTGCTTAGCACATGCAGCAGACATTCAGAGTTATGTGGCTATTGCACTAGGAGGACCTGATCTACACATTGGGCAAATGGATATCCCAACATCATGTCCACATCTGTAAAATGGGAATAAATTGTGACCTATCTCACAATTTTTCGTGAGGGTAAACACGAAGTTTTCAGAAGCATTTTGCCATTTTAAAACTGATACATTTAATAGTGAGTAAATTTGCTATCCTGACATATGTTGTTGTTATTATGTTGGGTGCTTCCAGAGCTGGAAGTTCCCAATCATTGCTGTTCTGCTTTAAGGTGGAAGTGGGATAGCAGATTTCTAAACACTCTGTAGCCAAGTGGCCAGTCCCTCTTTCCCCAAATGTTTGAGAGGAGCAATTTTCATTGGGATCTTTGTATGTATGGGACAAGTTAAATAGCCCCCTCCCCTCACTGCACCTCTGCTGCAATTTGGGGTGGGGGGGGAGGGAGATAATGACCAGAATAGTAGCTTAATAGCAGCTATATTGGCTATAAGTAGGTTGGATTTGGGGGAAAGGAAGTAGACAGTAAGTTGAACACAACAACATCAACTAGATGTCATCCTTCCTTAAGGATAAAATCTGAATGTCACGTCGGCTCTGTAGGAATGGTTAAAGTTCGTTTATTTATTAATGGTACTTATCTGCTGCCCAGTAGCAAAGTTATCTGGACAGCTTAATAGCAATGAAAGCATTAAAATATAAACCGCAATAAGCTAAAATAAAATGAATTCTGCATGAAAATTCCAGCAAGAGAGAAGGAAATCAATAAATAAAACATTTATCTTTTAAAAGTCCTGTCAGCTCAATTTTTGGAAGATGGGGCTTAAAAAAACAACTGTTCCAACAGTGGAAGTAAAACTGCTTCTTGAATACTAGAGATTGAAGAATATATGCACTTCTTTCGCATGAATGTTTTTCCCCTCCCTTTTCAGAAGTTCTAAAAGAGATCCAAAGCACTCTGGAGGGTGAAAAAGGGTGAGTGTCCATGGTTTCTCTTAGAACTTGGGGAGTTAAACTGTCCTGTCCTTGTGATAGAAGGGAAGTGACATAGTGAACATCTGAGAACATGTATTTAGCAACCCTGAAACTTGGTGCTGTGTTCCTCAATGGCTTCCTTCACATTCTCAAATATTTAACCTCCTATTAAGTCTGCTGCCAACACTGAACAGATTTTGTACTTCTCTGTACATTCTGATATGAGGGTGGTTGTTGTTGTTTTGCTTTCTAATTAAGATATTTTCACCCAACTTGAGTTAAGATACCCACTATCCCAATCTTGTGAATAGCTCAGGGCAGACTCAAGTCTTTCATTTTTAGGACTTGTCGACCAGGAAGGAGATACAGATCTAAAAACAACATTAGTCAGCTGGTGTCAAAGAGGAGGGTGGGTGAATTGGGTCCCATGGATTTACTTCCTGGCACTGGGGAGGCAATTCTTCTTTTGCAAAAGAACCAGTTGAATACGGGTTGTCACATGAGACTTACTTTTAGGATTTGACGGGGGGATGGAAGTGGGAGAGAAAACGCCTCTATCTACAGGTATATGGAGATTTTGGTGTTAAGAACCATAATGCTACAAGTTGTCTGTCACAGTTTCCATATGGCGATTTTGTCTTTGCAGGAGTTATAGTGACAAAAACTCAAGGAGAATTCAAGTAGGACACAGACTAAGCAATGGAGGAGGTATGTGGGTTTATATTCTATAGGTGTATTTAGAGAAAACAGTATGGTTTGTTATAAAAATACATCTTTATGTAGCTTCCTTATGCAAAAACTGGTGTCTTACGAACCATGAACAGAAAACTTGAAGCTTCTGCTCATGGTTTGTAACAGATCAGTTTTTCGTTTTGTCTGAATATGGGAAACAGTAGCTTCCACAAATAATAATTTGTTTAACAGAGATTTGACCTCAATGCCAGGCTGGGCCTCCTTTGCTGTCTTCACGCAGTTTTGTTCTTGAGATGATGGCTGCCAATGCCTTCTAGAGTATTTTTATGTCTCTCCCATTCCAATTCACCACTGCAAAAAAGTACTTGACAAAAAGGAGGAAGTAACTTCTCACTTTTCTCCCAGTCTCTGCAATTTTCATCCTTAAAGGTAGACTGCAGCTGGGAACCTGGCCAGAGTTCACTCTACAAACCAACATTACTTAAAGCAGAACTTGATGCCCCCAACTTGGGCAGCATGTAGCTGTTCCTCTGCCAGCTCCCACCAATGATGTATAACAGGAGATAGGGACATTGCAGAAATTATATGCAACCGTCAAAAGTCAGGATGCTGAATGCCTTGCTGTTGTGAGACTGGCATTTTCAAAACATTAGTTTGCGTCCAATTATATATTTGAGTCCTACCAGGCTGGGACACACACACACAAACATTCTTCACCAAAAACATACCCATGCATTTTCACCAAAGTGCAATATGCATTAGATTATGCACAACAAAAGGGACGCAGGTGGCGCTGTGGGTTAAACCACAGAGCCTAGGACTTGCTGATCAGAAGGTCGGCGGTTCAAATCCCTGCGATGGGGTGAGCTCCCGTTGCTCAGTCCCTGCTCCTGCCAACCTAGCAGTTCGAAAGCACATCAAAGTGCAAGTAGATAAATAGGCACCTCTCTGACGGGAAGGTAAACGGCGTTTCCGGCGCTGCTCTGGTTTGCCAGAAGCGGCTTAGTGGCCACAAGCTGGCCACATGACCCGGAAGCTGTACACCGGCTCCCTCGGCCAATAAAGCGAGATGAGCGCCGCAACCCCAGAATCGGTCACGACTGGACCTAATGGTCAGGGGTCCCTTTACCTATGCCCAATAAAGCAACAGCCTCTTCAGGTTGTGTAAAATAATTCTGCCCTTTTCTCTTCCCAGCAGAATGATTGTGTTCCTGCAGTGTCTCCGTGATGTCCGACGTTTGGAAAGAGTGCCATAACACTACTGACTACAGGCCCACCGTCCACTGGAAGAGACATCCACTGGCCGTGGCCTTGGATTCAGTTGCAGGGCTGAGTCTTGCCTGGCCACTCATCTGCTTATCATCCTCTTCACTGTGCCTCACCTGAAGCCCTCATTTTCTCTTTGAGATGCCAGCCTTGCACTAAGGCTGGAATGCTTCCCTTGGCCTGTTTCCCTTCATGCCTCTGGATTTTTTTTTTGCAATTCTTCAATTGTTTGCACAATTTCTTTTAAAATAAAATATTTCTACTGGGATGGGTTTTAAATTATAAATATTACTGCCTTGGGTGCAGAGATTTTTTTATAAAAATAAATACTGTTACCTCTGACTAAGATTATTTTTTGTACATTTTTTTAAAAAAATCATACTGGGTGTTTGTTCAATAGATATATTTTAGAAGAGTTCTTTTTTTAAAAAAAAATCTTGAATGAAATAATATATGTCACTTTAGATTCCTGTGGCTGCTGTAATTTTTTTTTCTCCTTCAAATGAGAAAATTGCAAGGGGTTTGGGTTTTTTTGGTCATGTTACTGTTAAGTAGTTTTGCAGACTCAGGTAGATTCTTATTTTTGTAGCTGATCAGATCTGGAAAAATTAATCAAATTTAACTTGATTTGTGTGTGGACACTACATTGAACTGTTGTGAAATAAACCCGAACTTTTAACATGCTTTTTAATTTGACCAAGAAACTCTCTGTTGCCTCATTTCGATGCCCTCTGAAATGTTTAACAGCCTTGCAACTGCAGCACGGGAAGTGATCCTCTTCATTTAGATGCTTGTAGTGCTTTCCATGGTCACATGAAACTTGTTCTATAAGCCATGAGTTCCCCACATTCTGTGAAAGGCAGATAAATCTCACCTGGAAGGGTTTATTATAGACCACTCAGCCTTTCAGTGTAATTGCCAAATGCCTTTCTAGGTTGCTTTCCGGGGATTTTACCAATTTTCTCAATCTAGTCCAGTTTACTGGACCAAAGGCGGAATCCCAACTGTATCCTAACCTTCCAAAGGTAACAGATCATATTAATTTAGGTTTGATTCTATGCACCAATCAAAAACACAATATAACACCCAGAGAATGAAGTGTGTGATAATGACAAAAATTGTCCTTACTAAACCTACAAACAATCTGCATTGCTACAGGGCAAGGTAAAAAATGCCTTGTAATCAAATGAATCTTATTTTTAAAAAATTATTCCTCCACATATGAAGAATTATAATAACTGATGAAGGGGCCTGTATAGTACTACTAGGGAAACTAGAGCTAGGTTTAGATTCTGCAGGCAGGGGACTAAGAAAATCCTGGGAAGATGATTTATCAGTTTCCATTTTGTAAAAATGGGAATAGCAGCACGAACCACCAAGAACTTGCTCTTTAGTATGTGTGGAGAGGCGAAAATGACGAAAAGGCACCAGGAAGTAAATATACAAACATTAAAAAGAGTTTATTTGAAAAGTACAAAATTAACTTACTTTATTAAATACCTCAATTAGGGACTATGCTAAAATATATAAATATATATACATATATATATAAGGAGAAGGAAAATCCTCCCCAATTAAAAAACCCTGTGTACCGGCTGCTCCTAGTACACTGCCAATATTGCAGCATGTGTCCCTAGAAGAAGCCTTGGGTATATCTTTTCTTTGGCGGAAGGTGGCCGTTTTGAGAAGAGTCCACAGACCGTTTGGTCGCCACCGTGAGCTCAGACAAAGGAGCGCTCCTCTTCAGGCTCAGCTTCCGGTTTTGTGTGCATCTCAGCCTGGCGGTTCTTCTGGCACCCTGTTGGCAGGAAGCTGCTTCTGTGGCCCTGGGAGGTAGCCGACACTCTGCCTGTGGGCGAAGCTGCCCATCCCTCCTGGAATATCCTTTCCGTTTCTGCCTGAGAATGAAACTTCGATAGAAGGATTCCACCTCAGGAAGGTCTGCCAGATTAGTCATCTCTATGGCATCAAGCAGGTGGCTGTACTCCAGGGGGACAGGACTTTTTTGGCACTCTTGCAGTGGGGGCGAGTCCTGCCTCTTCAACACCTCCACGTGCATCTTACGGTTTGGCGGCAGCAGCCGTGGCCTCTTCCTCTCTGCAGACTTAAGCAGCAAATCTGAAGCGCAGATCTGCAGGAATTCCTCTTTGGGATTTGCTTCCGGCTCCAGCTCTTGGGCCACATGATGCAAGTCTCTTTGGCGGGGGCACTGTGCCGTCATCCGGCTACTCGTGTACAATTGCGCCTGAGGGGGAGGCACCACCATCAGGTAGAAAAAGGCATGTGACAAGGATGTGTCCCTTGTCCAATTCTCCTGGCTTGGAGCACAAGCTGGTGACCCACACCCTGACACTTGAGACGACACGGTGGGGTGTGTCTGGGGTTTCCGTTTTTCATACCACGCTTGAAGAAACTTCTCCCGGCTGGATTTGGGCCCTCCTACATCACTTGGGCACACGGCTTCCTCCCCTGGAATGGCTCCCGTTTCCATGTAAGGACCTGTGATTTCAAAGAGCAAGACGGGGGAAAAATAAGTGAAAGAACTTTCTGACGTGCAATTTAGTAAGGGGGTGATAAAATGGAGTCTCAAATTGACCTGCAAGGAATAGCTGTAGTGTTGCCAGGCAACCACACGCATTCTAGATCTCACCAGTCTCAAACAAGCTTCTTGGCCTAAGCCATCACAGCAATAGCAGTTGGGACAAGAGGGATCAGGCTTCCCGATGTCATAAGCACTCTGATGTCAGTAACTTGGACAGTTGCTCACAACTGTTCACAAACCCACGGTGTACTATTTATGTGACCTGACCACTTGCCAAAGCTGCAGCTGGCAAGTCTTGACTACTGAGTGTTAGTGGTGGCTGGAGTCATGGAGGTGTGGCCAATGAGGTCACAGGGGTGTGACCACTTGTTCTGGTTTTCTCCCCATCTTGCCTTTGCAAAGATTCTGTGGATACTTACGCATTGTAGTTGTACAAATACTTTGCACCTAACTAAACTGATAATTGTCTTACAAGAATGCAAAACCTCCATACTTATCACAAACCCTACAGTTCCAGTAACACACAAGTGCTGAAAGTTGCAAAACACACACAGAAGACACCCACCATTTCTCCTTCCAATCCTCTTACCCATTCACAAAAATAAGTGGAAAATAGATATTACAAAGACACACACTGTCCACCATTGCTCTCAACAAATATTAATTTGAAAACAAGCTGCTCAAATTAGTAACCACACACATTGTTCCTAGATAGCTATGAAGAATGTGTTTTGAGGTGTGGCTTTCAAGAAAACCGTTCTGAGCAGGGTGGATAGAAATTAATGATTTAAAATAAATGAATCAGATTTTTAAAATAAAATGCTTTTGGAGGAAACACCTTTCTAAAGATAGTTTTCCATTTAAGTTACATTATAGTCCAAAGGCTATTCATGAGGAAATAAGGATTTGTTTTAAGTTTTTCATATTAAACTTCAACTCAGTCTGTTTTTTTAAAAAACTACATTTAACCACATCAGTTAACAAACATGGATACATATGCTATGTTATTGTTTTAGTAAAGTACAGTAGAAAAGTCAAAATATAAACAATTTCATAATTACCTGTCTTTGTATTTCTAATAGTACAGTATAACCAAATCAGTAATTGCTCATATAACTGTAAAAACTACTCTGAAAATTTATTATTCCAAAAATGAAACCTTCATCTGTTGTTAATATTAATATTATACCAGCAAGAATGAGTCTTTCTACAAAAAATGATTTAATCAAGCCTTACTGACTAGTGATTTAAATCAATTTGATTTAAATAAAATCAGTTCCCCTTTAATTCCAATATAAGTTACGTGGTACGTGGGGACTTTTTAAAAACATATCTACACTTTTGGATTAGCAGTGGCTGAGTGCTGCATAGACCTGATTAGCCAGAGAACTAATTAACTTTATTTTTTTTACAATTTATACACCATGATTGGGCGGGGGGAGAGAAATCAAAGCAGTTTACAAAAAGAGAAAGAATAAAATTATCCGTAAAAAGTTAACAATGTTTGAAGAGCTTCTCTAAGTGAAAATGAAAGTACAAAATGTGTCTGAGACAGGAAAGCTGGGGAGGGATTTTTTTTTTTTTAACATTCTTCTCAGGAGGGAAGGCTCCGCCACAGTGACCAGCCTCCACCGCCCAATGCGTGTTTACAGTAGCAATACTGTTTCTGAATGCATAATTTTATCTGGTGCCAACAGCTTTCATAACAGAAGAGAGCATCGTAAAATAACAGGTATGCACCACTTCTGTTTAGAGTCACTAGGTAAGCCCCCCCACCACCGCCGCCAAAAAGAACTCAATTAAGAGGCCATTGCAAGTTTTCCAAACTCCTTTTGGGTAAGATGTCCTCCCACATTGCCATGGGAAGCTGCAGCGTTTAGTGCTAGAATAAGCATTAAATATCTCCGCTGCTTGTCGCATCCCCTAGTCTGTGTGCCAGGTTACATTAGGCCCCAGGCTGAAGAGGATCTGATTTGATACCTTTGCATTGTGCTTTTGTTAGATTTGGCCACGGCAGTCGTAATCCTATCCCTTTGGGAGTAATTCAGTTGGCTCTGCTTCACAGGACTAAGCTCTCAGGCACTTAAGCAGTTCCCGTGCGCTCCCCACCCACCGCAATCCCCGTTTCCATTTCCTGCAATCTTGTCCTATGAAGTGGGCGCATTTACCTATGACACTGTGCCATCCCCCTTTCACACTATTTGCGCTGATGTTCTGGAGGCGGAAGAGAGCCCAACCGAGCCACTCGAACAGCTGCGCTGCAGGCTTGTGTCTTCTAATTACATCAGTGAAGAAGTGTTGTAGGCAAATGACTCCTCTAGTAGCAGAGCATTGCAGTTTAATGTGCAACATGAGCTCCTAACCGGCAGGCAAAACAACACTTCAGCTGAGATGCCCGGCCCCATGACCTTGGCTGTGTTGTGTGGGTGGGAGGGAGGGAAAGAGAGAGAGAGAGAGAAGGAGAGAGATGGCTCTCATTACCACAGGATTACTCCCTTGAACCTTACAGAGCAGCTGACAATTAGGCAACAAAGAGCAAGTGAAATATTTAAAGGAGGACTTTTTCCAACCTGTGTTGCTTAATTGGTTTGGTTTTCTTTCCCTGGACATGAATATTTTATCATCCCACCTCAGGTTTCCTTTGAGGAACAAGTGACTAGAACCTACTTTCTTTTTCTTTTAAAATAGCAGCATTGTTACCCTAAAGCTGTGGATAGTGCCAGGATTTTTTGTGGGGGTGGGTGGGGAGCAGGCAGGTTTCTCACACACAAAAACAGTGGTACCTTGGGTTACAGACACTTCAGGTTACAGACTCCGCTAACTCAGAAATAGTACCTCGGGTTAAGAACTTTGTTTCAGGATGAGAACAGAAATCGTGCGGCAGCAGCGGGAGGCCCCATTAGCTAAAGTGGTGCTTCAGGTTAAGAACAGTTTCAGGTTAAGAACGGATCTCCAGAACGAATTAAGTTCTTAACCCGAAGTACCATTGTATGGGAGGAATAGTGCCTGAACATTTTGTCAGGTGTCTCACGTCCTACAGATGCTAGAATCATAGGATTGTTGAGTTGGAAGGGACCACAAGGGTCATCTAGTCCAACCCACTGCAATGCAGGAATCTTTTGCCCAACATGGGATTCGAACCCACAACCCTGAGAGTAAGAGTCTCATGCTCTACCAGTTGAGCTACCAAAGATACTCCTTTCTTTTTTTCTTTTAAATGAAAGCTGGGAATCTGGTGATGATGCCACCCCCAATGGATGGCCATGCCTGAACCTGAGAAGTAAATCCATTCTGACCCATGAGGCTCCTGTGCCTTTAACTGTACAGCAAGCATAAATTCAACAGAAGGGGGAAGTCATGTGTTTTGAATGTGCATTGGATGTGCATTAAACTAATAGTGTGGATTTCCCCTCCTTTTCTATCACTGCATCTTGATGGTAGAAGTAACAGAAACAATGCTTTCGCCACTCCTAATAACACCAATCAGAGAGGTAAGGACGGAGGGGGCAGAGAACAGAACTGGTTTTAATAACTCTGAGAGGCATTAAAAAACTCTTCTTATATTCAGAGGCACTCCTTCTAGCAGCGTTCGAAACTCCCATTGCTCTAGACGCGTTTTGCGACAGGGAATTTCACTAATGCAAGCAGTTTCTGAGCTCTGGGCGCAGTACCGTGCCTAAGATTTCAGATTAAAACTGACACTGCTGTAACAAAATGAGGACCTTTTTCTGACTCTCCACTTCCAGCCACTCTCTGAAGACTGGAAAAGAGACCCTCATAAGAATATTAGGGGGGGCAGGCATGGGAAGTATGGCTTTATTTTTTGCAGTCTTTAGATGATGACTAGACCATGTGAAAAATGAACATAAGATCTTAGCTGTAGTTCATCCATTTTCAGCTTTGTATTCTTGTTATTAAAGAAGTGAGCCTGCCCTTACATAACCAGGACCCTACTGTGTGTCGCTGTTAGAAAAAGTCCTAGAGCTGTGTGGGTTTTGCAAAGGTTCCAGGATTTCCTTTTATCATACTTCTGTCTGAAAACAAGCTGAGAAGCCTTGGTTGCTGGGATGCGACTGGCTCAGGGTCATCCCAGGAGCTTCAAGGTTAAACCTAGCTTTCAACAGCTGTTGGCTTCTTTGGAAAACCCCTTATCAGATCTTATTAGCAGGGAAGAGCGAGATGCTGCTCAACTCCCCCCCCCTCTCTTTCCCCCCTATGTCCACGCACTCTTTTTGCAGGTGGGTCCCAGGCATTGCACTGGAGAAAGCGAGAAGGCGCTGTGGAAACCCCCCTTCCCCCTTCAGACCTCCGATTGAATTGTATGGAGGTTGGGAGCGACGTGTGCAATCTTGCCCCCCCCCCAGTGAGAAAACGGTGGAGGGTTAATCATATCTACCGATATTGAGCCTTGGTAAACGAAAGCAAAAGCCCGACTCCATTCTGGCCTCGTGACCAATGCTGCCACGTTTGCTTTAGGATGGGTGAAAAGTTATTTGTTTTTTTTTTACAGTGCGTGGTTGGGCCCAGTTTAAACTCGTCTTTTTTTAATGCGCAAACCGCATTCGTGTTTTAGTTTAGGTTCTTTGGGTTGTTTATTTTTAAATGGTAGGAATAAAATAGGCCGTGGAGTCCAGGCCTCTCCGAAGGCCTCTCGAGAGGGAAGGTTTGCAACGAAGCGGAGCCAATCTTTTTATCTTATCTGAAGGCGGCGCGTACGAGGCGCGAAACCCCCGATAAGGGGGGGGGGGGAACAACCTAAAATTTTGCTAAGCAGCTTTCCTACACAGCACCACAACCAGCGTGGATGGGGAAACCCAAACCTCCAAACGGGTTAGAAAAGCGGCGACCTTAAAAGCAACTTTGACGGCGGCGGTATAAAGCCGTTCTAGTTCCTGCTCTGTTAGCTGTATTAATTATTATTATTTAATTTTTATTACCCTCCCTCCCATCTGGTTATGTTTTTCCAGCGGCTTCCAACGCATATAAAAACCATAATAAAGCATGGCTCTTTCAGGAGATCCTCAGAAGATGGAGAATCGCAACATGCCGGGGAGGATTGTATGTGTTGTGCGTGCTTTCCTTGGTCGGGCGAGGTGAACAAAAAGCCCTACGCCTACTCCCCACTGTCTCTCCTACAGAGAAGCTCCTCTTCAAGGGGGCGCTTTGCTAAAAGGAGACGCCTTGGCTCTCCCTCTTCTGCCCCTTCCTGCGCCCAGCAGTCTTAACGCGGATGACAAATCTTGCTGGACAGCAGTGATTGCCGCAGCCAGATCCTGCACAACTTCGAATTTTAGTGCTTGTAAAACCGCAGCAAGGCGATGTCTTAAATTAAGGCACACCCGCCGCCAACCCCACTTCTAATGAATGCGTAAAACGGTGTGCAAGGTAATATTTCCAGATTCGGTTCCAAATGAAGATGACTCGGGTGGAGGAGAGAAAGCCAAGGCCCGCTGAGTTCAATGGGGCTTGTTACTCCCAGGTAATGGAGTACATAATTGCAACCTTCACATGCTAGCTGTCCCATTACAGTCCACACCCCGCTTCAAATCGAAAAGGGATGGGATTTGGAAAAAATATATACCGCCGGGCCACATCAATAATTTGGCCTACGGGAAAAGGAAGGAGGGGGACTTATTATTTCGGACGAATTAGCCTTTAAATATAGCGGGACATGCAAACAAACACAAACAAAGGAGATGGTGAACTAACCTGTTTCTTCTCAGCTACCCGTTGTGTGATCCCACCTCTCCTGACTGGAAAGGGGCGGCAGGTAAAATGCAAGTGGCAATCTTGCTTTTTTCTGTCTCTTTTAAAGATTCCCTCTAAACGGAGGTTGGCCAAGGAACCTTTTCGGGCAGAAATACAGGCCCCACCCAACATGCGTAAAGTAGTTCCTGCGTATGGAAGCCTTATCTTAATGACCCGAATGATGGTTTTGGGGAGGGGTGGTGGCTATCCTGCTTGTCCTTTTTTAAAAACAAAAGTTAGCTCTGCCTGAGGTTATTTCCTATTTACCCCTTTTCCCTCCCCCTAGCAAGTAGGCAAGTTACTTTGAGAAAGGAGCTAGCTCCTGAAAAAAAGACCAAAATAGGATGGATCTTAAGAAAGGCTGATGGGCTTGACAACTTGGCCCTATGAACTTTACTTACTGGACACAGGCTTACCTCTAAAAAGGGGCCACTATCTGGAATATTCTAGTACAAAGAAACAGAATCATGCCTATTTGAGGGGGAAACTTTGCCCCAAGGAACAGAACTTTCTACTCTATTGAATCTTTTCAGTTCTCCAAATGGAAAGGCCAAGAGGGAAAGAGCAACATTTTGTTTTGAATTTGCTTTTCCACTCAGGATTTAGCTATCTGTCCTGTTTATAAACCAGAATAAATAAAATGTCACTCTGAATGTCTGTGCAGGATTCAGAATCCTCTTAGTAAGCAAGCATGAGGAGAGAGAAGAGTCTCATGCTTCCTGGTAGGGCCTGAAACAGCAAGGCCTCCTTCTACAGCAAGCAACTGGTCTACTTTGTAATGTTTTCTCAGCCAGTTAACTATTTGTATTATACAAATGCTCCCATTGTATAATCTGCCAGAAAGACTACAATGCACAACATTTTTTTTATACTGTTGCTTTAAGCATAAACAAGGGGAGTAATATCTCCTGTAGTGCCCCGTACCTAGGCAGTAAGACTATCATCTATTTAGCAGGGACACAATATTTTAATTTTGGGGACCAGTGTTCACATCTTCCTATTGATTTGACCAAACTGCGGGAGGTAGTGGAGGACAGAGGTGCCTGGCATGCTCTGGTCCATGGGGTCACGAAGAGTCGGACATGACTAAACGACTAAACAACAACAATTGATTTCCAGAGAGAAAGCCATGCTAATCTCTTGCAGCAAAACCAGCAAAAAGCTTTATGCTAGCTTTAAGGACTCGCACATTTGCCGTGCCATAGTCTAGTCCATAAAAGTTTATGCCTTAATAAATTTGTTGTAATTATAGCGCTGCTAAATTATTTGTTTTTATGCTACTGTTAAAATTGTTGAAGCTTCCCTCACCCTAATCTGGAATGCCCAATACACCAGTAACAGCTGTAACAAAAACATTTCTCTATTTTTAAAAATGCATTAAGGTCCCTATACTTCAACTGACAACTTTAACAAACAATGCCCCAGACTAATTATGTTAGCTTGGAATTCATATGTAGATTTGACACTATCAGACTGAACAGAAAGAAAATGATTGCATTTGTACCTCCACAAGTGCTTCAGGTTCTTTTGCTAATTAATTACCAGCTGGACTCACTCTGATTGGATCTTTTTATCCATTTGAATGGCCCTTGTTTGCAATAGTAATGGATCACATGATTTTTTTATTTTTTGCTTTTTAGCCTTCCTTTCTTCTGTCTCCTGTTTTCTGAGGATTTCACTTTATCTGCAATCTACAAGCTAGTATTGTAGTTACACTGATTTACACTTCAGTCCCAGTAAGTAATACATGTGTCTTTCAGAGCTTCATGTTTTGCTATTGTGTCTGACTCTAGCACATGCTTTACTCAGGCAAAGACCGTTGTCTCAGTTTTCCCAGTGCCACTGCTAACCATCTGCTGCCATCATTGGTTGAAAAGTTCGGCCATGCCATTGGGAATCTTGAATTATTGATGCCATCTTTCCTTCCCTGTTCCCTCACGGCATAGGTATCCTGGCTGAACCTAAGTTTGCTATGAAAGTGGATGTACTAGAAATATCAAGAAGGGCTTCTACAGGCTGTTGAAGAAGAAAGGAACACGCTTGTTAAAGCATTAGGCTGCACAGAACGCTGACTTCTGATCTCATCACTGCTAATCCCATTGTTGGAATTGAGAGGGAGGAGACTGGTAAGTTGGATAAGGACATTTAGACTAAACTGAAAATGTAAACAAATTGGCTGACTTCGAAATGGAAACTTGAAAAAGTATTCTTAAAGTGGCGCCTCTAAAATATTGAAAGCTGCTTTATATTCAGAGCCCACATAATTGCTGTAAAGGATGCAAAACAAAATAATGTATTTTATTGGACCAAGTTACATTAACATAAGATTAACATAGGCAAGTGTTTTTAGAAGATTTGCACTGCACTCATTCAGACAAGATTAAAGCCTTAGTATTCAGTCTAGGTAACATGTTATATTGCAGAATTTCACTCATATAACAAGTGAAAATTTTCATTGGACTCAAAAGCCAACGTATTGCAGTCCTGTTTTCTTTGGAGCTCAAGTTCCTTCTCTTTTTTTGTTTCTTAATTTAATTTTTCCTACAAATAAATCAGTATAAATTCTATCCATTAAACATTTTCTGATATAAAATCTTTTATTCCTAACAATCCTTAATAGGCTTCCTCATATCTGGCATGCTGGAACAGAACCTGATATTTTGTTATGCTGAGTGCACAATAGTGCTTCTATGAGTTTGGACACAAATAGTACTTTCCAGTATTCCTCTTATCTTCATAGACATGTTCTGCTTCCCAAACTAACAGTGATCTGTGGAAAACACTGAAACCACATGAGAAGTAGTTGACAATGGTCTACTGGAAATTTGTGTCTAAATACTAATTTCAAAGCTATGGGAGTATAGAGGTCTATTTTTCTGTATCAGTCAAACCAAGTGAGTCTCAAATTCCCTTAATTGTTTGAAATATATTTGCACAGTGATGTAAATATATCCCACAATGCATGGTATATAAATTAAGGCACATGGTGGAGTTTATGTGCCCAATTTGTATTGTATGCCTTATTTAACAAGAACAGAAACTGCATTTTTGGATGCCATCACAGTTTTCTCAATGTGGGCTGAGCAGAGGTGTGCAAAGTTTTGTCTTTCTTATTTACTTATTACAGGGGTGGATAATCAGGCTGCAAATGTGGTAAAATCAGAGATGGCTAAGCTGTGGCCTTCCAGATGTTAGACTACAACTCTCACCATCCAGAAACATTGGCCATGCTGGCTGAGGCTGATCTGAGGTGGAGTCCAACAACATCAGGAGGGCCACAGCTTAGCCATCTCTGATTTTACCACATTTGCAGCCTGATTGTCCATCTCCCATGGAGTTCAAGGTAAGTTGAAGTATTTATGGAGATGAAAGCCCCCCACCCCCAAACAAAGAGTGGCAAAAGTTTTGTATGCAGCTTCACCTGGAAGGGAAATACAGTGGTACCTTGATTCTCAAACTTAAGCCGTTCCGGAATTCTGTTCCAAAACCAAAGCGTTCCAAAACCAAGGCACGCTTTCCCATAGAAAGTAATGCAAAATGGATTAATCCGTTCCAGACTTTTAAAAACAACCCCTAAAACAGCAACTTAACATGAATTTTGCTATCTAACGAGACCATTGATCCATAAAATGAAAGCAGTAAACAATGTACTGTAGTCACACAATCAATCAGTAGCTGAACTGGGTTCCACACAGTCACAAAAACAAACAAAGAAAGAGCCGCAGAAACAAAATAAATAGCAAAAACAAACAGACCTCAGTGTAACACTCAAAACGGAAGCATGGCACTCAAATCAGAAGCATAACACTCAAAACGGAGCACGTTCAGCTTCTGAAAAAAGTTCGCAAACTGGAACACTTACTCCTGGGTTTGCAGTGGTTGGGTTCCAAGTTGTTTGAGTACCAAGGCGTTTGAGAACCAAGGTACCACTGGGCATGTGTGAGAGAAGTTCTATACTTTAGTGTAACATTTCCATGTCAGTTTTGTTTGTGATGCCATAGGCATGACTGAGCAGTTCCATAATTGTGGTGTCCTTACTGCTATGTGACATCAGTTTTGCTATCAAGCTGCCCACATCAGCAAAGGGGTGTGACAAAATACAGTTTTAGGTCTTAGACGATTGGATAATAGAGAATAAGAAATCCAGATAATAAGAAATCGGCCACCCCTTCTGCAGGTGATTTGTGGATTTAAAAAAAAAAATTTACTTGCACATTCATTGCACATAGAATATGACATCTTTCCTCTTAATAGATTGTGTGCTTACGTATATAGGAAGAATGGCACCTTCTCGGTCTAAAGCAGAACGCAAAACATCCAGAGAACAGAAAGCTGAGCATGGCAGCCAGGAAATAACAGCACATGTTTCTCGGAAAAAGAAAAAGCATGTTGACGAATCAAAGAACCAGGACAGAAGGCTGAAGAAAAGAAAGAGCAATGAGAGAACTAATTCTGAAGATTCATTCTCTGATGAGGATGGGGTTCCTGTTGTCTCCGTGCAGGGCCCAGCAAAGGGCAAGGGAGAGGTGAGAAGGCTGAAGGAAGGAAGGAAGAGTAGTTTCAAGAAAGAAGGAAAAGAGAAGAGAAGTTCCAAGGTCAGAGAATGTCATTCTGATAGAAGACATGGGGAGCAGTTAATGTGCAAGGGAGAGAAGAACGGAAGAAGGGTTGTGAGGCAAGATGATCCGATTTCAGGACAATGGCACAATGCCAGCGTGAAAAGCTGTGAGTCAAAGGACACTGAAGACAATGAGAAACACAACTTGAAAAGGAAACGTAAGAAGCAACCAAGCAAGAGAAAGAATATCGCTGATACTGAGTCCCTCACAATAGAAAATGAACAAGGTTCCCCTTGGAAGAAGCAAGAGTCATACCAGAGAAGTCATATTGAAAGCAAGGAACAATGTAAGAGGAAGCCTCGCTATAAGGCTAGTGGTAAGACTACCAGAGAAAAAAATGGAGGGCACAAGAAGACACATACTAGGAAGTCAGCTAGAATACTTTCCAAAGCAAATCCTGTGGATTCAGAAGGTTCATCATCATCATCATCTTCAAACTCCCAAGATAAATACAGTTTGAACCAAAGAATGGGAGATAAAGAGACTGGAAAGGACAAGTTCAAAGTCAGAGAGCGTAGACAGAACTCTTTGGACGATGATAATGAAGAGCTCTGTTCTAAGAAAGTGTTACCCACTATTGGGGAAGATCAACCTGCAGGCAAAACTAGTGACTGTCAAGAACTTCAGGAAACAGCCAGTGAAAGTGAAGGAAAGTCAGAGATCATAGCAGCAAGACAAGAGGCTGAGAATGAAGAGAGTCACTCTGAGATAGAAGAGAAAATAAAAGGGAGTGATAAAAGATATGTGGCAAGAAAAGTTACAGCAAGTGATAATGATGAGCAAAGTGGTGACTCAGACAATTGCAGTAGTAGCCCTACAGAGGAAGAGAGCAATGATGGGGAGCATGGAAATCTTTCAGAAAAAGGGAGTGGCAAAGAAGCCTCTGATTATGAGCAGAGTATACCTGGAAGTGAAGAGGAAAGTGAGGTGAGCAGCTTTGCAAAAAGAAAAAGTAGAAACAAGAAAAGATCAAAGCTCCTCAAGTTTGGCTCGAACAAAAATCCTCAAGAGAACCACCAGACGGAAGAGAACATGAGTGTCAGTGACAAAACAACCACTTCCTCACTACAACTAATAAAGCACAAAAGTGAATATCGTGGTAAGACTGATCCATCCAAACAAGACATGCATTTGGAAGAGCAAACAAGCCGAGATGCAAGTTCAAGAGTAGATGCAGTGGCCTTGCTCGAAAAGAGATATAGCCATCTGACTTCACAATCCCAAATTCTGCTAAGCCTAAAAAGCAGACATAAGGATGCTAAAGCCAAACTATTGACAAGTGGCAGTTGTCCTAAGGCAGCAGAAATTGGCTCTGATTTGAAGAAGGCTGGAAGCATTCATCCAAAAAAGAGTACCAAAAAAAATGACAAAATGGTTTCCAGAGCCAAGGAGATTAAAGAATCAAGTCTCTCTACTGCTTCAAGCTCAAACGTTAACACTAGAAAGCTTTCTGTTGAGAAGAAAAAGAAAATTGGAAAAGTAACTGGAAATGTCAAAATGGCTTCAAATCAGGTCCTGGAGACAAGAGAGGAAGAGGAGTTAGTGGAGGAACAAACTGTTGAAGATGCTGCTGGAAAAGGCACAATCTCTTCTAAGCAAACGAGATCCAAATCTCTACAAACCCTTTCAGCGTTTAAGAAAGTGACCCATTGGCTTAGCCATAAGCCTCCCAAGAAAGCAAGCTTGAAAGATCGCTTCTTACGCATAGCACATGCAGTTGGCCTTTCAGGATGGCTCTTCAAGAAATTTGGCAAGAAGAAGAGCAATAAATCATTTGGATTCAGGAGAAGAATGGTCATTCGGGTTGTTGGCACTGTTGGGCTGGCCAAGAGATGTGGCAGGCCTTTCCATGACTCAACGGGGGAGCAAATGAAGAAGAACTTGTGTAAAAAAGGGTCTTCCTGTTCCTTGTTAGAATGTGATCAAACCGGAGATGAAGATACAGTTGTGAACAAAGAACTGGAAGACGGAGCAAAACCTCTGCTGATGAATCTCAGTGGACAGTCCGAGGAAGAGAAAAGCAGTATCACGGATGCCAAGTTTGCCATTGTGTTCCCCAGGGTCCATCAGTTGGTGAAGTCCAAAAATGCTTCTCTTGAAATTGACTGTAGGGGACCACAGCTGCAGTCATGTGACCAACCAAGCAGGAAAACAGTAATATCTGTCCAGCCAGATGCTAAATTGCAACATGAATATTCTAAGCCAAATGGCCAAAGGAATAGTCAAGTGCTTCCTTGCAGTCCTCAAGCTGATGTATCTATACCAGGTATGTAAAATCAAGCTAATCCTAAAGTAAGGTAAAGGGACCCCTGACCATTGGGTCCAGTCGCGGACGACTCTGGGGTTGTGGCGCTCATCTCGCTTTACTGGCCGAGGGAGCCGGCGTACAGCTTCCGGGTCATGTGGCCAGCATGACTAAGCCGCTTCTAGCGAACCAGAGCAGCGCACGGAAACGCCGTTTACCTTCCCACCGGAGTGGTACCTATTTATCTACATGCACTTTAATATGCTTTCGAACTGCTAGGTTGGCAAGAGCAGGGACCGAGCAACGGGAGCTCACCCCATCATGGGGATTCAAAGTGCCGACCTTCTGATTGGCAAGCCCTAGGCTCTGTGGTTTAGACCACAGCTCCAAAAAAGCCACTAAGTTGCTTATGCCAAATAATAAAGACTCTTAAGAAAAAGAAAAAGACAGGTCTTTAATTATGCTCCATTTCCCCCAAATATAGTCCTCCATGTACCTTCCCCTCAGCTTTCCTGCAGTACCTTTTCCCAGTCAATGGCCATGTCTGTTCTATAACTTCAGTTTGTAAGCCAGGAAATGTGCCATTAGTTCTCCCTTACCCAGCCTTATGCTATATATCCCCCCCCCCATTTCTCAAAACCAGACAATGAAAAAATGGGGAGAAATCCTCTGGGCATTTGTAATAATGATTTTGAATGTTCTTCTGTTTTTTTCTTTTAACTCTAGCTGAGTTAAGAGCTGTTACCACACTACCTCAGGAGACAAATATTGCTCTTTGCCATGCTGCCATTTTGAAATCCCATCCAGTAGGCTTTTTCTGTTGAGCTGAAATTCTTGAGGGGGAATGGTGGGTCAAAACAGTGTTTTGGTTTTCATTAGTATACATTAGTGAAGTTTTTAATATTTGAAGTTTTATTCTGTTTTTAGTGTTCTGTTGGGAGCTGCCCAGAGTGGCTGGGGAAACCTAGCCAGATGGGTGGGGTATAAATAATAAAGTTATTAAAGTTATTATTATTACTGTGATGTTCCTGTAATGATGTGCCCTTGATCCAAGAGGAAAGCAACATCTGGTTCCTTCAATAAGAGTGCATCGTTCATTTGCAAACTTCAGACTTGGTTACCTTCAAATACAACTAGAAACGGTTGGTGTAACATGTAACCTGCTCTCTTTTTTTCTAAGTTGAAGGAAGGGTGTTACAAGACTCTGTACCTTCCAGCTTGGGGGAAGATGACAAGGCAGACCTCACCCAGAGGAGCACGCCAGAAACCTTGGAACAAGTGCACTGGACTCAGCACCAGCCTTTTACATGTGACCCTACCGCTTGGCTGAATTCTGAAACGCTGCTCCCACGGTTCACCATTGAGAACTTAAGCAAGTGGACTTTATATAAAGAGCAGGATCTGGCCAAGTCTCCTAGGTCAAAAAAAGCATTGCAGGGAAGGTGGGAGGCAGAAGATGTCACTGAAGATGTCCTTGAGATGGACATGATGCAAAAGCAGGTTGGTGCATTCTGTGCTAGAGATCATCGTGTGGGATGTGGCTGAACTGATGTTATGTATCTCTTTGAAATGCCATTGTCATATACCTTCCAGATGTACAAAGATGAGGATTGCTACATGGAATTTGAAAAAGTGGAGGACCTTTCCAGGTTGGAGTAAGTATGGTACAAGGTGTTTTTCTGATAGAAGTGTATGAGGAAACCCAGTATCATCAGGGTCCAATCCAGGATTCAGAGTGTAGTTATGTATTGATTTACTTCCAACATCAGTAGTAAACATTTCTTCAAATTAACTGCCGGATTTTGTTTTGGGGGGGGTGTAGAAAAATAGGTATGTTATCAAATCAAAACCCTCAAATATAATATTTATTCCCCCCCACCCAGGGAAGTCAGCGAAAGCTCTGTGCTGCTGTGCCTGAAAAAGAGATTCCATCACAACTTTATTTATGTATGGATATTACTTTCTTAATCTCTCTAATTGATTGTCATAAGAAGTAAGTGCTTGTGTGTAAGAATGTTGAGGATGGGTGGGAGACACTGATTTCCCACATGGGGAAGAATCCGCAATGGAACCCTTTGTGACTGAATATAACAGTGCCATTTTCTTAGTGTAGAACAGGGGTTGGGAACATTTTTCGGCCAGAGAGCCACGTCTTTATCTCTCCCTCTGCTGGTGGGCCAACATGGGCAGGTGGGCAGAGCTGGCTACCTGTCTCTCACCTGACATCGTAGTAAGACCAGGGAATGCTTCCCATTGAAGCCCTAATGGTTGCAAAGCAAACCATGAGGCTTTCAAGCAGCCCTTCATAATTGCAACAAAAGCTGGCAGGCAGGTGGGAGTGAGCCTCGCGTGATAAAGGAAGAACTATGAGCTGTTTGATGTTGGGTGTGTGGCAGGTGGGTGAAAATGGCCTCATGAGCCAGTTGGGGAGGCCTGGAGGGCCATGTTAGGTCTGCAGGCTGGAGATTCTCCACCCCTGGTCTTTACAAGAGTTAAGGGAGGGGACTTGAGTTTGAAATTCCTGCCCTGCTTTTAAGGATAAGTAAAGCCAAGGCAATGCTGTGCTTCTTCCTAGACCTACATTGGGCATATCTTGATCTGTATCAATCCTTTCAAGCCACTCAGCCTTTTTTCAGAAGATGTGGTGATCCAGTACCAGAATGGCCTGCTCTCCAGAAATGCACCGTATGTCTGCATTGTGTTTTCTCCTTGCCTTATTCTGATAATCTTATTCATGCTGCATACAAAATCCTGGCTTTCATTTGCAATCTTGGGCTCATTTCACTTGGCCAAAGTGATTGTGCCTCTCTTTGGAATTTAGGAATATGGCACAATTCTTTCACTCATTTCAGTGACAATGTTGCTATTGGATTTTATATATGCTTGCACACACACACACACACACACACACACACACAACATTCATCATCTCACTCAGATCTGCAGTGTAATTTGTTTATGTATTTGTTTTTGATTTCTGGGGCTTGGGCAGCAAATTACTGATTTTTGTCATAGGGCTGGAGTTTTTGTCCCAGGGAAGCAGGTCACACACAATAAGAATGTTCTAGAAGCAAAGAACTTTACAAAGTGCTGCTAACCCATTGTGGGTTTAAATTCCCACCCAAACCTTTGATCATGTTTAGCAATACTCATGCTAGGGTTTTTATCATAGAATACTGGTATTATTTTGAAATAAAGCTGATGTCCTCCCCCCCCCCCTTTTTAAAGCACTTTCTGAACACATGGCTCCATAATGGAAAGCTTGAGTGATCAATTTAACACGCGCCTTGCAAAAAGTTGGACTAGGACAAGTTATCCTTGCCAAGCTGACTTTAAATGCCAGCATGTTGTTGGTTTTTAAAAGATATTTCATCGACACTCCACAAATACACTAATTTGTAAATACTTTGCAAAAACGGAAATTACTGAAAAGAAGGTGTTTGGGTGCTGACCTTTGCACCTGAGCAGCTTCTCTAGCCAGCTGTGGCTTTTTCTCCTATGCCCTAATAATCCTATGAAGGGTAGTCTCTCCTGTTCCTTAATTCAATCAGGGGAAAGAAAGTGGAATTGATTGTTTTCACAACACTGTGTGCTTGCCTTGCGGGGTTGCAGTTTACACAGAAATAAAACAAAAGACAAAAGTATTCCCGACACCCAATATATTTAGTAGGTTACTGTAAACTAGGTTGACTTTGAGATAGTAATGGTCAGCCTCATTTTCAAAGAGTATACAGTTGTTTGTTTGTGTTGGTAAAAGCATAAACTAGAGGGGGACCAGAGATCCACAGCAAAAAGCAGCCTCTATTCAATAGCCCTGTGTCGTAGACAGGCTTTAAGATTGTAGTGCCTTGAACTGGAATAATTTACATTAACAGTAAAAAGAGTCTTTAAGAACTTGATTAATTTTTAGATGCAACTCCTTTATTTATCCCTTCACAACAACATTGCTGTAAGGTAGACAGGTTTTAAAATTGTAATGGCCAGGCTCATATTAAATCAACAGGGCCTGACTTATATATTTCCCATTGGGGAGATTTTTTAAATAAATAATGAAACAGTTCTTCACAATAACCCTCTAGGGTAGGCAACTTTTAAGTAATCTCTGGTTTCAAACAGTAATCCTAGGGCAAAAATAGAAAAATTCATGGTTTCCGATTGCTTATGGAAAGGAATATGTAAGTGTGCTGCGGATTTAATCTGAGGCTGGCTATTACAGTTTTAAAGGCCTGCCATGCAGGGTTGGTGTTTGTGAAGGCTTGCAGCTAAGAACTAGAAAAACCTACCTGTTCAAATGCCAGTATAATGCTTTGATCTGAGACTGGCTTAAACCATAGAACAACAACAACAAAATCTGTACGAGACTCATTCTGCTATTAATACAAATCTATTCTGATCACTCCAGTTTTAAATACCTTCTTATCTCACATGGCTGTATTATACCAAAGTGCTCAGCTTTGGGGTTTTCTGCCAACCAAAGTACTTTATTACAATAGCTTGTGGAGGACTAAGTATAATGTGGGGAAGTTTTTAAGCCTCCTGGCATGCATTCCACTAAATCTAATGTTTATCCCCAGGATACTCAAGCCAGTGTGGTGTAGTGGTTAAGAGCGGTGGACTCATAATCTGGTGAACCAGGTTCACTTCTCCACTCCTCCACATGCAGCTGCTGGGTGACCTTGGGCTAGTCACACTTCTTTGAGGTCTCTCAGCCCCACTCACCTCACAGAGTGTTTGTTGTGAGGGAGCAGGGGAAAGGAGAATGTTAGCCGCTTTGAGACTCCTGAAGGGGAGTGATAAAGCAGGATATCAAATCCAAACTCCTCCTCCTCCATCTTCTTCTTCTCCCAACCTCTCTCCCAATTTCATTCTTTAACTAAAACTTTCCATGGCTCAAGCACTCTCAACCCTAGACTTAATGGCTCTGAGCCACAGCATCTGCACAATTTGGTTCTGTTAGGTTACAGGTGGGCAAGCTGCGGCCCTTGGTATAATTTTTTACAGTTCTCGGATACAACAATCCAGAGAAGGTTAAGCACAATTAAGTTCTACAGAAATCTTGCATTTATTGGAATAAGCTGCTCTGGTTTCTTTACCCCCCGAAGGAGTGTGAGGTATGAAATGTTAATAAACATGATCCACTTTCAGGATCTGCAACCCAATGTGGCCACTTCTGCCACAGGAATTTCCTGTCCTCCCTTACCTTACCACCCTGCCAACTCTGCTGCCTAAATATTTCAATGTGTTTGTACAAAATGTAGCTGTTGATAAGGTGTTGTGTCGATCTCTGTACAAATAAGCCTGAACTATTTTTGATGCAACTGGAAATTAGGCGGCTGAGTAATAACATGGGTTTTCTTCTCCCCGCCCCCATTTCTTTTGGTCCCCTTGCAGACATATATTTGCCATCACAGAAATGGCATATGCCTTCTCTCAGAGCTCAGAGAAAGAGCAGTGCATTGTCCTCAGGTAAGAGAGAGATAAAGGCACTTTTCCTAAGATTGTCTGAGATTTATTCTCCGTCTCCCTATTGCTTCTTCCGCACTGATGCAAAAGGGGCCCAAGTGTTATTAGGGGCATTATTCAGGCCATGTTTGTTGGGTGCTTTCCTGGAAGTAAGCAATTGAATTCAGTGGAACTTACTTCTGAGTAGAAATATGTAGCATTGTGTTGTTGAGATTTCTCTTCAGGATTCTGCTGCTTCTGTAGCCAATCTGCAGCCATGTAATACAGAGGGCAAATAGACAAGCCACCTGCTTGACTAGCACAGGCTTCCTCAACCTCAGCCTTCCATATGTTTTTTGGCCTACAACTCCCATGATCCCTAGCTAGCAGGACCAGTGGTCAGGGTTGATGGGAATTGTAGTCTCAAAACATCTGGAGGGCCGAGGTTGAGGAAGCCTGATCTAGCACATTCTTTCATTGGGACAGGAGGGGAGGAATTAGTGCTTTGGATATGACTTGCCAGCATTGGGTGTGTTCAGGAGCATCATATCCATCTTCCAAATGTGCATCTCATATTAGGACAGTATGTGGGAATCTTGGGGTGGGGGTGGGGAATCTGCCACAATTGGTTTTCAGCATGGCGTTATTTTATGGACGAACTGCTTGCCCCTTACGATCAAACCTATTGATTTGGGTGGCCATTAACACCATGCCATTGCCATGGATGATCCACCTTCTGTCACACACCAAACCAGGTGTGGGTTAGAACCCTCAAGTCAAAGACCATGGGAAATCAAAATGTTTTGCTGAAAATACTTAACATTTGAAACCCCAGTTACTTTGAAACATGGTAATATATTGGTGGTTATACTGCCATGAAAGTTGTTATTTTTTCCTTTTTGGCTGACAAATGATCTTCTTTGTTTCTGTTTATAATAAGCAGCAGACAATGAGATCTTAATTGGATTTTTTTTTCCAAAAAAGAAAAGGAAAAAAAAACCCCAGTTCAACTGGTGATAAACTGCACTGGTGGAGAATGTGATCCAGCAACTTAAATAACCGTGACGATCTTTGCATTACACCTCCCTCCTTTTTAATGTTTTCCAGTGGACACAGTGGCTCGGGAAAGACTGAAACTGCCAAAGCGATCATCCTCTATTTGTCCAGGCTATACCAAAGGCAAGAAAGCCATGGGATAAAGCAAGTATGTGTACTATTATTTAACATTTATTTAGTGACAATAAGATGTTCAGAAGTTAGATTGTCATTGAGCACAATTAGTGCATGTTGCAGCCTGAATACTAAATGCTTGGTCTGAAAATAAATCTTAGTGAAATCTGTGGATCATGCTTCCATACAAATACATTAAAAAATGTAATGAATTCATTAGAATTTTATATCCACTTACCCTGGGAATAACCACCATTGAGCTCAATGGGACCCATGTTGTTGTTGTTTAGTCGTTTAGTCATGTCCAACTCTTCGTGACCCCATGGACCAGAGCACGCCAGGCACTCCTGTCTTCCACTGTCTCCCGCAGTTTGGTCAGACTCATGCTTGTAGCTTCGAGAACACTGTCCAACCATCTCGCCCTCTGTCGTCCCCTTCTCCTTGTGCCCTCCATCTTTCCCAACATCAGGGTCTTTTCCAGGGAGTCTTCTCTTCTCATGAGGTGGCCAAAGTATTGGAGCCTCAGCTTCAGGACCTGTCCTTCCAGTGAGCACTCAGGGCTGATTTCCTTAAGAATGGATAGGTTTAATCTTCTTGCAGTCCATGGGACTCTCAAGAGTCTCCTCCAGCACCATAATTCAAAAGCATCAATTCTTCAGCGATCAGCCTTCTTTATGGGACCCATAAGATTGTACTAAAAGTAATGTAATGTTATAGATAGATTAAAAAAAAATAAGGCGGCAGCTTTAATATTAATATTGTCCTTGTCCTTACAGACATCTGATGTGTTACCCATCTTGGAAAGTTTTGGAAATGCAAAGACCATCTTAAATGACAACTCCAGCCGCTTTGGAAAGTTCTTGCATGTCCACCTAAGACAGTGAGTAAAAAAAAGGAATTAATATTTCTGTTTGAAACAGAAAAAGCATAGATAGTGGGGGATGCAAAATCAACAGTAAGGTAATAACTTTATTAGGAACAATGTATTTTTTAAAAACTTACTGAACGTGTAAAGCTAGCGGATGTGTTAATGGAGGATATAGCCTTATCAACTATTCCTGCTGGCTCATGTTCACATACTTGGGATAGATTCCAAGGGATTACAGTCAGCTTCTCTTTGCTGTTTGAGGAATGATTGTCTGCTCTTAAGAACCGTACGGACGCACCAAGGCGTCTTGAACACAGCTTGCCTCTGTCGCATGAGAGGCTGTTCTTGGAATCATTTCCAGTGAGAGACTGGTTCTCTTGGGCTCCACCCAGAGCAAGGGAAAGAAAGGAGACAGATTGCCTTCCAGCGGCAGGAGGCATGGAGCTGAAATGGCTTACCTCAGGAATGGCAAAACTCTTGGCCCTCCAGATGATGCGGGACTCCGTTTCCCATCATCCCTGACCTTTGGATGTTCTGGCTGGGGTTGATGGGAGTTGGAATACAACAACAACAGTAGGGCCAGATGTTCACCATTTCTGACTTATTGTAAATCCGTTAAGAAAGAGTGTGCAAATCAGCTCTGGTCTACAAGCTGGTGCCTCTTGGGAGATGACAGTACTTCTTAATTTATTATGTAAAAGAGACTGGTGCAGTAACAACAGATTCATCTTTAGTTTTTCTCACATAAAATCTACCACGTGCCTTCATTTGTATGTCATGCTTTCATTAACCGGGTCTCACTCTGCATTTCAAACAATTAGAGGGATTTGAGAGTCCGCTGGTTTGGTTGCTATAGAATAGGGAGTTCTAAACTCCCACAGCTTTGAAATTCCAAGTATTCAGACGCCAGTTGTCAGTATTTCTCAGCATTTATTTGAATCAAAAGACCTCCGTCAGATACTTTTCCATGGGATTTCAGTGTTTTCCACAAATCACCGTTAGTTTGGGGAGCAGGAGTCTGTGTTTTAAGAATGCTGCTGAATGCCTTATTTCTTCAATGGTGAGTGTTCGAAAAATTGCCTTGCATTATTGAATAAGACCTCCCATTCCATAAAGTCTATAGTCAGGCTAGAAAATAAAACGACTCGTCTTACAGGCATCTCTTCCTCATAGCGGATTTATGGTGGGTACGTCCATCTCTCAGTACCTTTTGGAGAAGTCCAGAGTTGTTTTTCAGGTAAGGAAAGTGTTCTTGCATGTCAGATGGCCGATAAATTACCCCTGTGTGCATGAGACGCACAATTCTATATTAAGTAATCCCACTTCCATGTGTGACCTGCAAACCCACATAGGGAAGAGTTTTTTGGGTAAAAGGGAATGGGATGGGGGACAGGATTTGTAGAGACCTGAGTTTGTGCTAGTTGTTTGTAGATGCTTTTGATATATTTCTCCTTTACTCTGGCCTTTGATACCTTGAGATGTAAATTTTTAGGACCCGCCCTATTCTTGTGATTGCAATTGTATTTTAAATGGCTGTGATCCACTCTGGGATGGTGATGGTGATGATTATGATACCACCTACATGTGATGTGGGAAGTCACATCCTCTTGAGCAAAAGCTGCACCTCCATGTGGGAAGGTAACTAGTCTACAGAATCACCTTGCAAATTCTGAAGCTTGAACATGGCAAACTAGGTTTTTTTGCGGGTGGGTGTCTATAAACGTGGATTATCAGTGAAGTTAGACATCAGTCAGTAGTATCCTACAATCACTGTGTCCACCATCTGTACAGCTCATTTGAAAATCTCAGAAAACTGCTGGCAGTCAGCAACCTTTTTTCTCCCAAGTAGTATACAGTCATACCTCGGGTTAAATATGTTTCAGGTTGAGTGTTTTCAGGTTACACTCCGCGGCAACCCGGAAGTAACGGAACACGTTACTTACAGCTTTCGCCACTCGCGCATACGCAGACGCGCAAAATGATGTCACGTGCATGTGTGGAAGCGGTGAAATGTGGCATGCGCAAGCACGTGTTAGGTTCTACTCAGGATGCGAACAGGGCTCCAGAACGGATCCCGTTTGCATCCAGAGGTACCACTGTATTCCTGTTAAAGAGAATGATGCAGATCCACACCATACACTGATAGCACATCCCTAAAGCAGGCATAGGCAAACACAGCCCTCTGGATGTTTTGGGACTACAACTCCCATGATCCCTAGCCAACAGGACCAGTGGTCAGGGATGATGGGAATTGTAGTCCCAAAAAACATCTGGAGGGCTGAGTTTGCCTATGCCTGCCCTAAAGAATCCTGAGAACTGTAGTTTGTTAAGGTGGCTGTAGTAATAATAATAATAATTTATTTATTTATACCCTGCCCATCTGACTGGGTGGCTCCCAACAGAATGTTAAAAAAACGCAATAAAATATCAAACATTAAAAAAACTTCCCTAAACAGGGTTGCCTTCTCAAAGTCAGATAGTTGTTTATTTCCTTGACATCTGATAGGAGGGCGTTCCACAGGGTGGGCGCCACTACTGAGAAAGCTCTCTGCTTGGTTCTCTGTCTAGGGATTGGTCCTCCAGGAAGGGAAAGCTGCTGTTCCCAGGACTCTTCAGGGCTGAGCTCCATGCTTTAAATGTGTGTTGGATGTGCTTTAAATGTATGGGTTGGGATTCAACTTGAGTCCTGATAACTAGCGCAACGGGGCTTCCACCCCTCCCCTCGTGCTCCCCCTGATATTGACTCATTGGAGTCAGAAGACCCTCCAAAAAATGTGCAGGGTGGAGGAGAAGGAGGATTGTTCTGTCTGGCAAGTGAAAAAGCCTGAGATGACAGAACAGTTGCTACAGCAGAATGTTAAATTCCTCCCATGGTGTGGATCTGCGAGGGCCACCTCCTCTTTGTTTTTTAGGGCCGAGGTGAAAGGAGCTTTCATGTGTTTTATGAGCTGCTGTGTGGTCTTCCAGTAGGACAAAAAGAGGAACTTTACCTGCAAGAGGCAGAGACTTACTTTTATCTAAACCAGGCAAGTAAATAGATGGTTTTAGAGACTCAGCTGAACCACAGCGGTGCTTGTCTTGCTTTACAGAAATAGCTTGACTCTGATGTATTTTTCCCACTCCCCAATTCTGCAGGGCTAACCCTTTTATAAGGATTTTAAAGGTTTTATAGGGGGTGAAATTACTGGACTCGAAAAAGAAATCTGTACTAAAATATCTCATGGGCAGGCTGACCCATTCGTATCAATGCAATTTCATTTAACCTGCCTCTTTCTGAGGGCTTGCGGAAGTCATAGCGTGTTCTTGTTGTTGTTGTCAAAAATTTCCATACCGCCCTTCATCTGAGGATCACAGGGCAGCTGAAACAAAATGCATACAAAAGTAACAAACCAAAGCAACTCCCCCAAGAAATCCACTCTATACCTACATAATCCTTGCTGTGGAATGGCATCCGAAAGAAGGCAGTTTTTAGCACTTTCAGAATGCAGAAGCTTTAATAGACCAGAAGAGGAAGGATGTGGAATAGTTATATACCCAGTCTACAATATGCCACCTATACACCCAGTAGGTCACTGCAATCTGTGGGAGAACCTCTTCCTCATGTTCCAAAGAGCTCAGAAGCTCCAAAGTACCGTAACTTGAAGCAGGGCTTTAGGGTGGCTGCTCCCGCTCTTGCACTTTCTGGAAACAACTGAAGACGTTGTTCCAACATCCCTTCCCAGGTGGATGAATAGGTCTCTGCCATTGTTGCCTTACTTGTGTGGAAGGCGATTAAATGTGAGGTGCTCATTAAGTAAAGGTAAAAGGGACCCCTGACCATTAGGTCCAGTCGTGGCCGACTCTGGGGTTGCGGCACTCATCTTGCTTTACTGGCCGAGGGAGCCGGCGTACAGCTTCCGGGTCATGTAGCCAGCCTGACTAAGCCGCTTCTGGCGAACCAGAGCAGCACACGGAAACGCTGTTTACCTTCCCGCCAGAGAGGTACCTATTTATCTACTTGCACTTTGACGTGCTTTCGAACTGCTAGGTTGGCAGGAGCAGGGACCGAGCAATGGGAGCTCACCCCGTCACGGGGATTCGAACCGATGACCTTCTGATCAGCAAGTCCTAGGCTCTGTGGTTTAACCCACAGCGCCACGCGCGTCCCTGAGGTGCTCATTACATGAGAACAAATTCTGCTGCTTGGGCTAGAGTTAAGTGGACTTGGAAACCCTTCAATGGGTGTAGTTCACATTGTAGAATACCGTATTTTTCGCCCCATAGGACGCACCGGCCCATAGGACGCACCAAGTTTTTTGGGAGGGAAATAAAGAAAAAAAATTATTTCCCCCCCAGGCGTTTGCGGGGCCGGCAGCGGGGAGAAGCGCTCTTCTCCCCGCCGCCTGCCTTCAGACCAGGTCCGGGGACAGCGGGAAGACGCGCTGCGCCTCCCAGCTGTCCCCGGAGCTTGCGGGGCAGGCAGCGGGGAGAAGCGCTCTTCTCTCCGCTGCCCGCCTTCAGACCAGGTCTGGGGACAGCGGGAAGACGTGCTGCGCCTCCCAGCTGTCCCCGGAGCTTGCGGGGCAGGCAGTGGGGAGAAGCGCTCTTCTCCCCGCCGCCCGCCTTCAGACCAGGTCCGGGGACAGCGGGAAGACGCGCTGCGCCTCCCCGCTGTCCCCGGAGCTTGTGGGGCTGGCGGCGGGGAGAAGCACGCGTCTCCCCGCCGTCAGCCTCCAAACCACATCGGGAGACAGAGGGATGGCGGCGTTCCGCCTCCCCGCTGTCCCCCGACCTTGTGGGGCTGGCACTGGGGCTCTCCTGAAGCCTGGAGAGTGAGAGGGGTCAGTGCGCACTGACCCCTCTCGCTCTCCAGGCTTCAGCGAAAGCCTGCATTCGCCCCATAGCACGCACACACATTTCCCCTTCATTTTTGGAGGGGAAAAAGTACGTCCTATAGGGCGAAAAATACGGTATGTTGGCAACCCAGGTCTAACCTCTTATGTACTTTGAAAATAGCCCCTCATTCACAAAAATCCAGAGTTTATGGGCTTCCTACCAGGAAGCGTAAGTATTCCCAGGGCAAGTTCATTCCTAACTATGCAAACTTGTGTTGACTCTCAAGGGCCGAGTGTGTGAGCTTCCAGGAAAGCGGGATGATCACGATTTTCTGGTCTTAATTAAGGCTCTCCAGATGATAGGTCTCTCCAGTGACCAGCTGAACTCCATCTGGGCAGTGCTCTCTGGCATACTGCAGTTGGGAAACATCTGTTTTACATCCTGTGAGGTATGTTGCATCTTTGCAAAATCAAGGTGTTATTAGCAATACCACCTGAGCCCAGTAGAAATGTCCCTGGGACATTTTTTTTCCCATTTAGGGTGCCTCTGAACAGTCAGTATTTTGTGTATGGCAGCAGGGGGATTCTAGAGCTAACCAAAACCTTAGGATTGCACAGTTAAAAGTGCATTAAAGAGCTCTAGTGCAACAAATCCAAAAAACAGACTTTTTGCAGTTAGGAAACTGATGAGGAAATGTACTGAAAAGTGTGGGATTAAATAATTGTTAACCACAGGAAGATACATAATCCCTGCAGATCAAGACAGATGCTTATTGTCATCTAACCACCCCACAGAGAAACTGGAATAAATGCTCAAAAAAGACCCAATGTGTTCTAATCTCCAGTTAGGCATTTGCAAGAGATGATGATGATTTAGGTAACCTAATCCAAAACTAAGGAAGATCTTAAGAGTTTTAGGAATACTGACACCCTGTGAAATGACTACATTGCACAGTGCGGTCTGTGTTCTTGGATGTCTTAAGGATTGAAATTTTGGTGTAAATAATGTCCTCATTTCATATCTTCCTCTCTCTTTGTATACACGACCATCTAGAAAGAATCCTCTGAGTTTGCACTCATCCCCAGTGAAACGGAAATCCAGATTGTTGCCAGTTTGCTGCATATTTCAGCAGATCTTCTTCAAAGGGCCATCACCCACCGAGTCACTGTGAGCATCTCTTTGTCTTGTTGGCACGTCTTACTTCTTCTCATCATGCTTTTCACAGAGGAGGATTTTGTGTTTAAGTGATATGGATTGTGTTGTGTTGTGGGAACAAGATACAAGAACCTATCCGCCTGCCTTCCCTGTGGTTTATCTGCAGTGGGATCAGAAAAGAATGTCTACTGGTAGCTGGCTCCACTGTGCCATCTATTGTACATTCGTAGGACTGTCCTATCTTGCAAGCACTCTTTTTTTTATATGCCGATGTAAATGTCTTTAGGAAAACTAATAAACTCCTTTGATTTTCCTAGCTGGAGCATAATCAAACAGTCAAATTGGGATTTTGGTTTGGTTCAGGTTTAAGCCTTCACTCGCATTAAGCATGTTTAATTTGGTTCTAGCCAATAAAGCAAAATAATGTGAAAAGCACTTGCTAGATTTGATGGTGCGTTAGACTTGAGTAAATACGGTATTTTCAAAACAAGGTGAAAAGGAATGCATGTTTTTCATCTTGGTGCAGATTATATCAGTTTATGGGTACAAACATGAATGCCTACAGATGAAAAGAATGAAGAAAGATTAGAGCTTTTGTATTCCAAAGACTCCTGAGCAGAAATCTTTATAATACAAAGTGATTGAAATTGCCCAAAAGCTCCTATTTTGAGAAATTAAAATGCCACCAGTCTCTATATCTAACATTTCTCTCTCCTCAGGAAACATGTTATGACCGGATATTCACTCCATTGTCAGTAGAAAGTGCTATAGATGCCAGGTAACCTTCATTGCTTTTATCTGTCTGGTGCCTGTCTGCTAGCTTTTCATCCAAATAACAATATTTTCTGTTTGTTTCTTTAAAAATAAAATTGCTCTCTCTCCACTTCTTCAGGGATGCAATCGCCAAAGTTTTGTATTCCCTGCTCTTTGAGTGGCTGCTGATGAAAATCAATGAGTGGCTGGCCCCGTTGGAAATGGACAGCACTGTTGGCATTGTTGACATATATGGCTTTGAGGTCATTTCCTGTGTTTACAGTGTCTTTGAGGGCAGCTTTCTGTTTTTGCCCTGTGCTAGTGTATGCATGAATGCTGACGACAAGTCTTCTTGAAGTTGCTTGTGGAAAATATGCTGGCAGGTGCTTTTCCATGCAGTCTCCCTTGATATTTGCTATGTAGGATCAGTTGGCATGTAAGCATTGGAATCGTCTGCAAAGCAGCCACACAAAATTGGGAGCATTGGCAGTTTGTCTGTATTGAAGGTCTGGGACACAGTGGGCAGCACTTCCAGAGATCTGGTTATAATTGGTTTAATGAGCACTCATGAAGGCTTGTCTCTGGCCACTATGTAGCATACCCTCCTCACAAGTATTTAGGTCAGAGCAGTTTTGCTTCTCCCTCTCCACACCTCTGTAGTTCTAAAATAGTACTGATGAATGGTTCCTTTTGCTACAAATGCACACATGATATATATCGCTTTCCCTCTATACTGTCTTCTCACTTTGGAAAATTTGGGAAATTCAAATGCCCACCAGAAAGAACAGTGCAGTGGAGAGGAGGCGCATATGGACTGTTTCTCAGATCCATAAACTTGTAGTATTTCCAGGGCAAAACTACTGTGACGGCCAGCAGGTTGTAGACAAGAGTCCTACCAAGTCTCAGCCTTTAAAATTGGTTAGCGCTATATGCTGAGACTATGAGGGTCTGTTGCCATTTTCTTCTTCTTCATGCAAGGTGCCATCTGCCACTTTCCTTGTGGACTTTGTGTACCGGAAGCAAAAGAGGTCTGTGTCTTTCTTTCTATCCACAGGATCTCGGGGTGAACAGCCTGGAACAGCTGTGCATTAACTTTGCCAATGAACACCTCCAGCACTTCTTCAGCAGAATAGTCATCACCCAAGAGGAGGTAAAATATAAAGCTAGGCACATGTAGGTAGGTGCACAACTTGTCCAGGAGCAAAAGAGGGAACCATTACATTGCACAGAGGCAGCTTTGTGTTATTGCGAAATTGTGAAAACACAAGTTGATAAAGCAAAAATTCACAATACATTCGTGGGTCTGAATCCTTAACCTGTTTTCATGATTCATTGTGCCTGGTTGGGGCCAATTTCATGCATAGATCTTGTCTTTTAGTTTGTGAGCACTCGGAATAAAGGCACAAAGACTTGATATGTATACAGCTGGCTCCAACCAGCATCACTGAATCATGAAAACAGACTCCTCCTTATCAACCTGTCTTCTCATAGCTTTCCTACCTCTCATGCAAATGTTTTTATACAAAGAGTGTGTTTTTGTATGTATTGTGCGGAAAAGATACCCGAACCATAGATTAAGAAATAGTTTACAGCAGAGTTTTCCAAACTTTTAATGTTGGTGATGCACTTTTTTGAAATGCATCATTTTGTGACAAATTCAGTTTTACTAGCAAACCAGAGGCTAAACTAATCCCTTTCCAGCTCCAGGAGGAGCGTGGGAAGTGTTCATGTGACACACACACTGCAGTTGATGCACTAATGTGTCGCTGCACACAGTTTGGTAAAGCTCTGGTTTACAGAAAGACACATTTGATATTATGGATGCAGGCTTCGTTTGAATTATCTTTGACCACTAGGAGGAGTATGCAGAAGAAGACCTCATCTGGAGTCCTGTGTCCAAGATACCCAGCGAGTCCTGCCTGGATCTGATAGCTGCAAAGCCCCATGGGATTATGTGCATCCTGGACAATCAGACTTTACTATCACAGGTCAGGAGTTCATTAGATCTCCCTTTCATATTTGCATGTCGGGTCCGGGGGTGTTTTTGTGACGGATGGTTTGTAGAGAAGGAGCAAAATGAGTGCTCTCAAAGAGGGTTCATGAGTGCCTCTTCCTCAGAATGTTATTTTTCTTACATTGGATTTTGTTGAAGTGTTACAAGAGGTAGGTTATACCTAGATCTGATGAGCAACACACACACACACACACACAGAGAAAGTTTGACAAGAGTTGTTAATCAGATTTGCTGCGTGTACGTGGGTGACACATCGGCGCCTGTAAAGGTAAGGGACCCCTGACAGTTAAGTCCAGTTGCAGATGACTCTGGGGTTGCGGCGCTCATCTCCCTTTACAGGCCGAGGGAGCCGGCGTTTGTCTGCAGACAGTTTTTCTGGGTCATGTAGCCAGCATGACTAAGCCGCTTCTGGCACAATGCAACACTGAAACCAGAGCAGCGCATGGAAACGCCATTTACCTTCCCGCCAGAGTGGTACCTGTTTATCTACTTGCATTTTTTGGTGTGCTTTCAACCTGCTAGGTTGACAGGAGCTGGGACCGAGCAATGGGAGATCACGGGGATTCGAACTGCCAACCTTCAATTGGCAAGCCCAAGAGGCTCAATGGTTTAGACCACAGTGCCTCCCACGTCCACAAAGCAAACACACAAAGTATGTACAACAGACACTCATCTCTAAACACCAGCAGATGCGCGTCAGGGAGCCCTGATTGGGTTGGTCTGGTCTGTACCATGTTTGCGTGTTATGGGCATTCAACACAGGCATATGCTGTTCCAAATATGTGTTTGCAAGCATGTGTGCCAAGGGGGCGACCATCATGCTTTTGCCAAATTTAACAGATTCCTACACGACAATCTCAAAAGCCAACTGCTCTTCTGGCAGAAACCTTAATAATTTAAACAGAGTGTGTGTTGGTGCAGTTGTCTAGTCATTTGGCCTATTTTGAAGGCATTTTCCAATTCCCTTGAGATGACCATCTGCCAAAAAAAAAGAAAGTTGGAAGTTGGCAGGCATGATAAAATAGAACAGCTGTGGACATTATTTAATAAATATTTGCTTTCTAGATTTCTGACTGCTCAGCTGGTATTCATTTGTTGCAGGAGATTCAGACATCTTTCCTCCAAAGGAAGCTTCTGTTCTGAGGACACTTGATTTCCACACACACACACACTGCCTGGTGTTAGATCCAGGTTTTGGAGAGTTGCCTTGGGCAAGTCACCCTCCCTGCCGCGAGTCTGCTTCCTCACTGCTGCAGGTGCAGAGGGCTTCTTCCAGTAGGCCCCCTTCCTGTGGTGTGGGCCCTTGGCAGATGCCTGGCCATGCTGACCTTTGGCATCAACCAGCTGAGCATGCAGTGCACTCCCTCTCTCCAGAATTAGCATGAACATCTCCCTTTCCTGTAGAGAGAACAAAGAAGTGGCAAACAGGATTAGACTGTCTTTTTACTTTGCAGCAGTCCAGTACAGTGGTACCTCGGCTTACAGACGCTTCAGGTTACAGACGCTTCAGGCTACAGACTCCGCTAACCCAGACATAGTACCTCCGGTTAAGATACCTCAGGATGAGAACAGAAATTGCGTGCTGGTGGCAGGGGGATGCCCCATTAGCTAAAGTGGTACCTCAGGTTAAGAACAGTTTCAGGTTAAGAATGGACCTCCGGAACAAATTAAGTTCTTAACCCGAGGTACCACTGTACTTGGTACCAGATGGGGGGAACTAATTTAAGTTTAGCACTAAGAATCCCTTAAATATAAGATTGTACTTGTATCATATAGCAGTGGTTCCTAAACCTTTTTCCGCCCACTGACCACTTGAAAATTGCTGAGAATTTTGGTGGGCCATGTAATATCCCCACCCCCCGCCAAATGTAATGCTCTGTGCTGGATGCTGATATGAATTTTATTGCATTTTATTGCTTCTTTTTTTTCCCTTATATTGTATTACAACATGACTTCCATAGAATTCGAATTCTAAGTGTTTTTCATGGGCACTCCGTGAGCCACCTGGTCCATGGACCACAGTGGGAACCCCATGTCCTATTGAAATGGCATGATAACAAGCAAATTGGTTTATCTGTGGGTCTGGGTCCCTAAACATTTAAAATACCTCCACATGCTACTAAGGATGTGGTTGATCAATACTTGTTTGTTTTTATTTATAAAAGCATTTATCTACCACAGTTTATACACTGCAATATGAGGGTGGTTTGCAGCAAGGAAACATCATTAAAAAAGCAATCATTACAATCGCTGGCCAGTCAAAACAGCTTCAAACAGCAGCATAGACCTGTCAGCATTAAAAAAAGGCTTGAAGAGATACCTGCAAGTCAAAATCGAGGATACCTGCCAAATCTCGGCTGGTAGACAATTCCACATCATGGGGTTGGTGACACAATGGCTGCATATGCACTATACATTTAAAGTATATGCCAGCTCTGTGAGGGCTACATTGCATTGCCCAGCATTCTTTTTTTTGGGGGGGGGGATGTTTTTCCAAATGCACATAGCCGAAATGCCCAACTTCTAGTTGTTATTTTGCTGTGTGTGAGAGTTTTCTTTCCTATCCAGGCCACAGACCACACCTTCTTGCAGAAGTGCCATTACCATCATGCCAACAGCCCTTGGTACGTCAAGCCGAAGCTGCCTTTGCCTGTCTTCACTGTGCAGCATTATGCAGGACCCGTTACCTACCAGGTATATAGGAGCCTGCTCCCCTCCAACATCCCCTGCACTTGTTTGCCTAGCTCAAGCAGCACAAAGGCGAGTTTTGCTCACCCAAGCAAGTAGGACAGGCATAGGCAAACGCCGGCCCTCCAGATGTTTGGGACTACAATTCCTATCATCCCTGACCACTGGTCCTGTTAGCTAGGGATGATGGGAATTGTAGTCCCAAACACCTGGAGGGCCAGAGTTTGCCTATGCCTGAAGTAGGACACATCAATTTGCCACAACTTCATCTGGTAAGGTTCTGGATGGCAGCATACGCAAGTGCCACTTTACTGCTAGTAATCCAAAGGAAGAGCCCTGGCTGTATAAGTCTCTTCGCTCTGGATTGGTCACCCAACAGGGGTGTCCTAAGAGCTCACAGTTTTGCAACCCCAAATTTAATGGTCTTAAAGTGCCTTCTAAACATGCATACAGTGGTACCTCGGGTTATAGACGCTTCAGGTTACAGACTCCACTAACCCAGAAATAGTATCTCGGGTTAAGAACTTTGCTTCAGGATGAGAACAGAAATCATGCGGCGGTGGCATGGCAGTAGCAGGAGGCCCCATTATCTAAAGTGGTGCTTCAGGTTAAAAACAGTTTCAGGTTAAGAACGGACCTCCAGAACGAATTAAGTTCTTAACCCGAGGTACCACTGTACTGCTCTTTCAATTTGTCCTCTTCCAGTCTGGTATCTAGAGTAGAATTCTATGCAGCGCTAAATGGGGTATGCATACACCGAATGAGGTCCACTCGCTCAATAAGACTCCCCCTGTCTTATTTCCCTAAATCTGTTCTTGGTTTTTCTCCAGCCCTCCAGAGCAGATTTACGGGACAATGGAGGGGGAAATTCCATTGTGAGAGTAGTTGCTGTTCGATGTAGGCAACAACTTACTTGAACACTGTCCATTGTATTGAATGGTTCTTTAGAAAAAGAAGGGCTAGACAATTTTTTTGGGGGGGGTGGGGGGAATAGAACTGAAATTATGATTTTATTATTATTACTTGATTTGGGTTGGGCAAAACTGTTTATTTGACTGGATAGTGGACCTCCAGCTTCGCAGGCAGCTATCCTGGTTTCTAATCTGCAAAAACAAGTCAAGAGTTGGGGCTGAAGGGCTTCCTCAGAAAAGACTGGAAATCAGGATTGCAAGTAAACTAAGAACTATACTGACAGGAGATTCACAGTGCACTCCTGAACATGTCTACTTAGAAGTCCCATTGATGGACTTCAGTGGAGTTTACTGCTAGGTAAGTGGGAAAGTTGGTATCGGATTGCAGCCTCAGAAGCTCTGTTCACGTAGTTTTTAAAAACAAATGAGAGTGATGTGGAATTTGGCTTTACAGGTCCACAAGTTTCTGAATAAAAACCATGATCTGTTACGCCCAGAGGTCTTGGAGATATTTTCCCACAGCCACCACAAGGTACAGTCAAATAGTTTGGGTTAATTATTATGCTTCTGCAGTGCAGACTATTCCTATGATCTCACAGTCAAGAGATGTACAGCTCTGTCTGATACTAATTTATTTGTGCTGCGGTATTGGTAGACATCAAAAGACACTTAATTGTATACCAGTTTCCTGGTGGATAGAAAAATCACTCCTGAGGTGTATATGCTTTCACATGACACTCCCTTGCTCCAAGATAGCTCTGTTTTGTTTGTTTGTTTGTTTCAGAGAGGAGTTGGTTTACTTTTAGATTTATTTTATAACTGGCGCAAACATCTGCAGCTATGGTTCCATCTTCTGCATAAGCAGCACTGGTTGATCAAACTTTTATATATAAAGGATACAGTGGTACCTCAGGTTACGTACACTTCAGGTTACAGACTCCACTAACCCAGAAATAGTACCTCAGGTTAAGAACTTTGCTTCAGGATGAGAACAGAAATCGCATGGTGGAGGCACGGCGGCAGCGGGAGGCCCCATTAGCTAAAGTGGTGCTTCAGGTTAAGAACAGTTTCAGGTTAAGAACGGACCTCTGGAATGAATTAAGTTCTTAACCAGAGGTACCACTGTACTGTGTAATTGTAGAACCTTATGTAAAGGACATCTGTTCTAAGAGGCTATAATAAAGTTTTATTTTATTTGTTGATCTATTGGATTGTTTGAAAACTGCCCTTTGCTTTTTTCATTGGCGGAGTATGGAGGGAGCTGGTTCTTCTCCATGCTAACATTTCAACTAAATGTTCTAAGTTTATTCTGAAGCTTTGATTTCTTTTGTCCACTTCTCTGAAGCTGGTGTCCCACCTTTTTGAGAAAGTGAAGGAACAGCAGATGAACCAGAGAGAAGCGGGAAGTGGGACTAGAGTCCAAGGGCCGACGCATCAAGCTTCTACGTTAGTGTCTAGATTCCAGCACTCCTTGCAAGATCTCACAGCTAAGCTAGACAGGTGAGGGAATGTGGTGGTGCTACCACCAATTTGTGTTGCCACCTCCCGGCACAGAGCATAAGCCTGTGGGAAGGCGAGGTCAAAGAGTAAGCTGCTGATCACCCATTCATTGAGCTGTGGTTCTGAAGATGGAGAATCAGTTTGGAGCCACATCTCATGCTGTTTTAAAATGGACGCACTTTACTTCTTTTCTCTCTATCCTACAGGAGCCACATTTTCTTTGTTCGGTGCATCAAGCCTAATTCCAAAAAGGTAAGACTTGGTCTTTGCAGGGCTGGACTGTACCTGAGGCTATCTTTGAGATGCTACCAAGGCAATGCCCTGGCTGAGTTATGAAAATCAATGGAAAGTTCTTCCATACACATGCTCAAGGATAGCTCAGTCGGTAGAGCATGGGACTCTTAATCTCACGGTCACGGGTTCAAGCCTCACATTGGGCGAAAGATTCCTGCATTGCTGGGAGTTGAGCTAGATGACCCTCGTGGTCCTTTCCACGTCTACAATTCTATGATTCTGTGAAAACATGCTCTAACCCAGGTGTTGGGAACCTCTGGGTCTCCAGGTGTTGCTGAACTACAGCGTCCATCAACTTTTGCCATTGGCAGTTCCATGGATGCTTGTCCAATTACCAGAAAGTCTGCTCCTGAGCACAGTAAAGTTTTGGCAGCCCACCCCACGTATTCTGATGGCTAGAAACTTGCTGTAAAAACAAACGACACTTTAGATGTCCATCTAGTTCCTCTGCTAGAAACAGCGTCAAATTACGTATACAGTGGTACCTCTGAATGCGAACAGGATCCATTCCAGAGCCCCGTTCGCATCCTGAAGTGAATGTAACCTGCGTCTGTGCGTGTGCGGGTCGCAGTTCGCCACTTCTGTGCGTGTGCGTGACGTCATTTTGAGCATCTCCACATGCGCAAGTGGCAAAACGCAGAAGTAACGTGTTCCATTACTTCTGGGTCGCCATGGAGCACAACCCGAAAATGCTCAACCTGAAGCAACTTTAACCCAAGGTATGACTGTATTTGGAAGCTAGATGAGAAACTGTTTTGCTCATTGCAGGTCTTGTACCAATATTCCCTCTCATGTATCCAAAATCTCAGCCACCCAGTAAATAGTAATCATGTGGACTATAACACCTAAGAAGGGCTGGCGTCTTACTCTACATAGGCTGCCCTGACACAAGCCATTTGGGTAGCCATGGATTTGCATTATCCATCCCTTTAATGCAGGGGTGTCCATATGATGTCCTCCCCACCCCAGTGTTGTCCTTTACCTCCCCCCCCCTTAAATGTGCTTTTCCTTTGAAATCTTTGGAAAGTCGGAATTGGGAAAAGACCTCCAATTAAAGAGGGGAAATGTCCAGGGCAGCACAGGAATATCCACATGTTGTTCGGATGTGGACATCCGATGTAAGTTGTGGGGGGAGCCGGCAAGGTACTGGTTCTTTTCAGCGGCCTTTCTGTGTCTTGCACTCGTTCCCTTCTTTATTTGGCTAATTGAGACCATTCCCTTTAAACTTCAGGTGCCAAACGTCTTCGATACTGAATACGTGGCTTCTCAGCTAAGGCATTCTGGGATTTTGGAGGCCATATGCATCAGGAAAGAAGGTTATCCCATCCGCATTCCATTCCGCCATTTCCTAATCAGGTGAGCCTGTTACTTGTCCCTCCTCCTATTTTAACACAACGTTGTAAAAGAAAGGCACACCAATAACATAATAACAATTTAAGATGCAATAACGATGGTAAATCAAGCACGCCAAACCAAACAGTTGGGGCAATAAAACACAGCGGCTGTCGCAGCCAACTTCAAATGTTTTAGAACACTAATTGGAAAAGACTTCTAGGGTCAAAATCAGGTGTTATTCCAGACTATAGGAGCTAGACTCAGAAAATACAGCAGTTGATCCTACATTTGGACATTCTCTGCAGACTCTTCATTTGACCTTAGGGAGTTGGAGGGGTGGGAAAGAGGGAGGTTTCTGAAAGCCTGGAACTTTGTGGTAAGGAAAAATGCACTGGAAAGCATAGAACCACCATGCAAACAAATCAGAACAAATGCTCAATAGACAGGTTGTCCCTGGCTCCCAAAGTGCTGGGATTTGCTTCCTTTCTCTGTAACACCCTGCGCTGAGGAGTTTTAGCAGATGGTTCTGTCTCCTTTCTGCTCATCAGGTATGGAGTCCTGGCCGGCCGAGGGCAGAACTGCTTGCAGGAGAGAGATGGCTGCGCCGCAGTGCTTTCACAGGTGGTGGGAGATCTCTCGGAGCTCTATCAGATTGGAGTCACCAAGGTGGTGTGCCTTAGCAATTCTCTTCCCTGCAACTTATGAAAGGCCGTGTGCATGCTGTTGGTTTCATAGGGGGGTGCATTCTCTTGGTAAGCTCATGACTCTTACCACTGCCATGTGCTCTGTACAGGGCTACCCTTGGCCTGGTGCAAAATGCTGCGGGGAGACAGTTGATGGAGACAACAACTATCACCAGCATGTAACTCTGGCGCTCGAAAGCTTTCACTGGCTATTCATACGCTACCGGGCCAGGTTCAGGGTTCTTATATTGATTTACAAGGTCCTTAACAACTTGGGTCCAGGGCATCTCAAGGACTGCCTAATCCTTTATATGGCCAAGTGGAGATTTGAACCCTGGTCTCCCAGGTCCTGGTCTAACACTCTGGCCACTATACTACAAAGGCTCTCGATTCCAAAGGGGCAACTGGATTAGAGACTTGGGGAATCTCCAGGCTTAGGGACCAATTTTGGCCCTCCAAGACTCTCTATCAGGCCATACCCTTCACTGACGACGACAACAACAACAACAATTTATACCCCGCCCATCTGGCTGAGTTTCCCCAGCCACTCTGGAGAATGTTTTTGCCTGTAATGTGTCCTTACACTCTGATAGTGGCTCTTACTTATCTGAATGGAGGATAGAGGGTGTGTGTTGGAACTAACTGTACAGAGATAAAATGAACATTTGTTGCTCTACCCACTTTCACCATGTGGTCCTTTCGAGGTTGCCCAAAAGGAATGCTGCCCTTAGGCTGCAAAAGGTGGTTAGCCTAAATGGGCTCTTTTAGTTGCTAACTGGTAAAATAAATATTTTGGTATAAATCAAATATATACACTGAGCCTCAGCAACTCTTCATGCTCGACTGGAGAAAGACAGTAAATATGAAATAAACGCCCACTAGATGCATTTATTTGCATAGTCTTTGACAAATTGGTCATTGAAGACTTGGGCGTAGGTAATAAGTAGGGCTGTTCACTTGCAAATAGCAGTGTTCTTTATTGCCTCCTTTCCCCGCCCAGGTGTTCTTGAAGGAAAAAGCGAGGCAGATGCTAGAGAGAAGATGGAATCAAAAGCTGAGCTGGGCGATTGTTACCCTTCAACGCAATCTCAGAGGCCTCATCAACCGTAGGCGGTTCCAGGTCTTCAAGGAGAAGGCCTTGGTCATCCAGGCTCATTTCCGGGGTTACCTGGCAAGGTCAGAAAGTGCAAAGGTTGTAGTGCTGTTGGAAGGCTTGAAGGCCACAGAACTGAACTGTTTTTAGCATTAAATGAAAGGCCAAACTCCATTCAGTCCTGGTGCAATCATGTGTACGGATTTCAGTGGGACTGGCTAGAAAGTTCCCCACCACCACCACATTCTCACAGTTGCCTCTTGTTTCCTGACTTCCCCTTTTCTTTGTAACCTCCAGGAAACGGTACCAAAGATTGAAGAAGACCCTGATGCGGTTTGGGGTGGCCATGCTCGTCTCTAGACCACTGACTCATAAGAGGAGGCAATACCAGGTAATAGGGTTACTGACAATTGGCAATGCAATAGGTAATATACTTTTCTGCTATAAGGTTTTATTTGAGGGATTGTGTGTGACATGGCTTAAAGTTTTCCCAGTAGTGATGTATGGAAGTGAGAGCTGGACCATAAAGAAGGCTGATCGCCAAAGAATTGATGCTTTTGAATTATGGTGCTGGAGGAGACTCTTGAGAGTCCCATGGACTGCAAGAAGATCAAACCTATCCATTCTGAAGGAAAACAGCCCTGAGTGCTCACTGGGAGGACAGATTGTGAAGTTGAGGCTCCAATACTTTGGCCACCTCATGAGAAGAGAAGACTCCCTGGAAAAGACCCTGATGTTGGGAAAGATGGAGGGCACAAGGAGAAGGGGACGACAGAGGACGAGATGGTTGGACAGTGTTCTCAAAGCTACCAGCATGAGTTTGACCAAACTGCAGGAGGCAGTGGAAGACAGGAGTGCCTGGCGTGCTCTGGTCCATGGGGTCACGAAGAGTCGGACACGACTAAACGACTAAACAACAACAACAGTGTGACATGGGAATACTCGGCACATACGTTTTAGACAAGGTCCCAACAACAGAAAGCAAGGCAAGTAAGCAAGTTAATGCTTGCAACAGTGAATGATAGTGGAGATGGTCGTACTTCGAAGTTGTCTGGAGGTCCAGCAGAAGATACAGAAAAGAGAAACCGTTTCTCTGTGTGGGCTATCCACATGCTGTTCACGTACTTCAGGGCATTCTGTTATTGGAAGTATGTCACGGGACAGAGAGGGAACGCCCTTGGGGCAAGGGAAGGGGGAGTATCAGAGCAAGGAGAGAATCAGAAGGGAAATACAGGGCTCTCTGATGCTGAAAAGCCCTGTCACCAACCAGGAAGTTCAGGAAGAGAAGGGGAAGCGGTGCTTTCCCACGCCTGCTATGTTGGAGAAGGAACCAAAGGAAGCCACTCCCCGAATCTGACTCCTTGGATTCAGATGCATGATTAGGAATAGTAGCTGTTTGCACATATGTTAATAAAGAACTGTAAATATCTCTCTGAGTGAGCAGAGGGTGTTTATTGCGAAGAGCAGACTCGATGGCCCTTGTGGTCTCTTCCAACTCTTCTATGATTCTAGATATTTTGGGACTACGGTTCCCATCATCCCTGACCACTGTTCCTGTTAGCTAGGGATGATGGGAGTTGTAGTCCCAAATTCATCTGGAGGGCCGAGTTTGCCTATGCCTGATCAAGAAGCTTTTTTAATTGAGGATGCAACTAGCTATGGATCCAAGGTGGCTTTTTTAGTGGAGACAGTAGATTAGAGTAAGAGTCTCTGTAATGCATTTCCAAAAACTTGCCTAGGGAGTAGCCCAGTTTGGACCTGTGTCACCCACATCTGGCTACTGGAATTTTCAGGTGGTCTCAATTTTTGTGTGAGGTTAGTCCAGAATAATGTGTGCCCAACTCCCAGAACGGCTGTGAGCACTAACCATGTGTGTATCTTTTGAGAAACACCCTGAACACACGTCTGCTGTGCTCTGACAACTTCATTTATATCTCTAAAATATTTGTTACAAGTGCTGGGGTATTACTGGTGTTACTATACTAGAAAATTTCAGCATTTTCACCAGCAGTCATGACTCGGGAGAAGATGAAACTTGGAAAAGAAACCGAGGCTAGCGCTCATTGTCATTGTTTTTTTTATCATGTATATTCTGGCTAAAAAGCAACCCCCCACCCCTGGGCTTTTAATTTGGGGAGCACCTTCTAACGATAGTTTTGTTCTGGGCACCGGCAAATGAGGACTCCTTTTCAGTCCAGGGGCAGTCATGGTAACCCTGTGGGTAGCCTCATTCTATTGGTGGGTAAGGATGAATGCAGGCAAAAGTGGGTGGAGCAACAGATGTGACCATCATTTTCGTATAGCCAGCTGCATTCTGTTCAGAGGTTTCTATGCATACACTAGGGCCGCTTGTGGACGCTAACTGGTTTGCAGCACAAAAAATGTTTGCTTTTTGCAATCTGGAATCATTCGTGTTCATCCTAAACATGCTGCTTTCTGCGTAAATTGAATCTGGATCCTGCCATCCACAGGGATGGGTATGGTTATTGGATACATGTTTGAAAAACCTTCCCTTTGATTAGGTTATTTGGAACCTTTTGCTTGCTGTACATGCCCCAGGTGAACAGAGAAGGAAGTGGCCCATGTGAATGTGGTATATGCCTACCCACAATGTCACTGAGTGGGTGTGGATACACCTCCCCGCCTACATCTGTTGCAAGGGAGCAGGTGGCACTGAGCTTCTTGGGCTTGCTAATCGGAAGGTCGGTGGTTCGAATACCCACAACGGGGTGAGCTCCCGTTGCTCTGTCCCAGCTCCTCCCAACCTAGCAGCTTGAAAGCACATCAGTGCAGGTAGATAAATAGGTACCACTGCGACAGGAAGGTAAACGGCATTTCCGTGTGCTCTGGCTTCCCTCACGGTGTTCTCTTGCACCAGAAGCGGTTTAGTCATGCTGGCCACATGACCTGGAAAGCTGTCTGCGGACAAACGCCGGCTCTCTTGGCCTGAAAAGCAAGATGAGTGCCGCACCCCATAGTCGCCTTTGACCTGTCTTAACTGTCCAGTGGTCCTTTACCTTTACATCTTTTGTAAAATGGACTCACTGCGAGGTAATGCAGTGTGGATCTGCAATGAGCTTTTGTTTTTGGAATGAAGCCACTTTTTCAGTGAGCATTTTTAAGGAAGAAAAATATGAAATAGGCGTAGATTGTGTGAGGACTACATAGAAAATACAAGTACAGTCATACCTTGGTTGTCGAACGGAATCTATTCCGGAAGTCCGTTCAACTTCCGAAAATGTTCGCCGAGCAAGGCGTGGCTTCTGATTGGCTGCAGGTGCTTCCTGCACTGTCGGAAGCCGTGGAAGCTGCGTCGGACATTCAGCTTCCAAAAAACGTTCACAAACCAGAACACTTACTTTCGGGTTAGCGGCATTCAGGAGCCAAAACGGACGAGTACCAAGGCGTTTGACAACCAAGGTACAACTGTACTCTATCCATTGATTCTAAAATAGAATGCTAAGTGTGTACAGCCACCACACTTTCTTTATCTTAGAAAGTAAGAGGCATTACTGCACTTCAGACAAGTGTGTTCAAGGAGGGCACAGAGCAGGGCCAGTGAAGATTGTGGTCTGGGAAGGGGCTTGGGAGAGTCTTAAAGGCTTTATAGAAAGGCCTGAGGACCATATTCAGTGTCTCAGCCTGAGGTTCCCCACCCCTGACAAGTAAATGAGACTTGTCAGGTGTCTTACATGCAAAGCACAGGCAGCCTTGATCTCCAGGAACTACGAAGAACCCTGGCTTATTCAAATGTGATGCAATTAATATGTGGGAAGGTACAAGGTCAACATGAGAAACTCTGACACACCTTTCCACCTGTTCTCTGGGACTCCCAGATAAGCAGAGAACATCATCCTGGTGTACCATCCAATGCTACTGGCTAAATTGCTTTTTGACTCGCCCTGAGAAAAGAAAGCTCAGGAGGCCAAAAGCCATGGCAAGGATTGCCTCTGAAAGTACCAGGAAAATGGCTGCCAGGTGTGTGGTGATAAGTCCTGGGAGGCTCTGTGATATGCATGTAGTTCAAGGCTTCCTAGTCTGCTGTTCTGCCTGAGTTGAGCATGTGCTGTGCACCTGTCCTTCCCAGCCTGAATAGCTCCCGGCTCTTCTTTCCCAGGAAACCACCACAAAGCTGTGCTTTGGCTTCATCATTCCTGCCCTCAGTGTTTACTTTATGAATACACTCGGCACTTAGGAAAGAAAACGCAACAGTGTAAGGTCTCAAAGTTCACTGTTAAGACTTGTAGAACCTCCCTCTCCTTGTCATTCCGCACTGGGAGGACTTTAGCCCTCTTCAGCCTTAACCTGGGCTGCGCCCCCTTGTAGCTCCTTTTGGCTGCTCAGTGGCAACAGCCACACAGCTGCGCTCAGTGGGGAGGAAGAGAAAGGATACTCCATAGATCACGGAAGAGCAGGCAAGTGCCATTGTACAGGGCTCAGCAAATGTTTCGTTTACATATGGGAAAGACAAAGCCGGATAGGAGATTATGATTCTGCCACTCTATGTGTCCATCTGGGGAGAAATAAACAATCAGCTGTGAACCTTCATGGGCTGGTTTAAAATTGCATTCTCCAGCAGCTGGAAGGACAGGGGGAGAGGTGATTAAATTTTCCAAGCACAGTACTGTATACGTTTGCTGGGATCAGTCATATAGGACATTTGTAATGTTAAATGCTAATGTAGCTTAGAGTTAAATAACTGGGACTAAATAGCATTGGGTAGAGAATTGCATTACCCTTTCCCATTCCATGCTGTTAAAACTTCCTGAAGCACCTGATTTTAGCAACAGTTGGAGACAGGATACTGGATTTAATGAACCATGGGTACGGGGTCCACCTGAAAATAAAGTTGTATGTGACCTGCCAAGGACATTGCTATAAAGTCATTGATTCATATTCTGGTTAAACATCTGTGGATAATTGTATTGTAGGCATAAAAGAGTTACCGTATTTTGCCATGCATAAGACAATGTTTTTTGCTTTAAAAATTGGGGGTCGTCTTATACATGGATGGTGAATGCACAGGGGTTAAAGAAAACACTACTTACATCCCCGTGGCTACTGTGAACAAGCTGCCAGAACCGCCCAAGCCACTGTCCCTCGCGGGTGCCAGGCTTGGGCGATCTCTCAAAAAACACTCAAAAACTTTGGGCGATCTTGGTTCCTGGTGGGGCATGCTACCCCAGGTTGCTATGCCAGTGCCGGTGCTTTGAATATTTAATAAAATATCAAAGTTGTTCTGTTTGATGTTTAAAATATTGATTTCTTAATTCTGGGTTCAAAAAAATAGGGGTCGTCTTATACCTGGGGGTGTCTTATACACGGGAAAATACGGTATCTGCTGCCCTGACATTACAACAATGATGATGTGGTGTGTGCAGGGTTACCGAT